GCAACTACTGGGTCCGAACCGTTGGAGCAACTGGCTGCAAGGGCTTTGAGCCGGGTAATGAGCCTGATGAACGTCAAGGTATCCTACGGTACAACGCATCGAGCAAACTTGTGCCAACAACATTCCGAGAGAATTACTCTTTGGAATGCCGAGATGAGGCCTATGATAGACTCAGCCCGGTTTATGAGTGGAATGTTGACAAGGTCAAGATCAACTGTAAGTCACAGTTCCCCTGACATTGCATTATTCATCTAACCTTATCGTGCCAGACACTAAGAGCCAGTTCGACATTGGTCTGTCCAAGTTTGCTCACAGGCCCGAGCTGATGGACAACTTCACCTGGTGGGCCTTTGGCGAGAACCCACTCTGGCTCAACTTCTCCAACCCTACAATTCTTAACCTCAAGAACACTACGTGGAATCCTGACTACGCCGTTGATCTCGTTGTACCTGACGAGAAGAAGGATAAATGGGTCTACATCGCCATCACAGCACCCCCAGCTCCGATGCAGAGCAAGCCCAACAGAGCTTTTGCTCCTGTTGCTCATCCTGTAAGCGAATTACATCCCCCAAAGGACTCTCCCTAATGTATAACAGCTCCATCTTCACGGCCATGACTTTGCCCTTCTAGCGCAAGGCACAAACTTCTCAGACCTGGACACAGGGAAGGTGAACCTTAAGTTCGACAACCCTCCTCGTCGAGACGTGGCACTTCTTCCAGCTGGAGGATATCTTGTCGTTGCCTTCAAGGCTGACAACCCTGGATCTTGGCTATTCCACTGCCACATCGCATGGCACGCATCTAGTGGTCTGGCCATTCAGATCCTGGAGCAACAGAAATTGCTGAATAGGATCTTGGATCAGTATCCCGAGAAGATGAAGGAGGTGAACAGGGTTTGTGATAACTGGAATAAGTGGTTCAAGAATGATACGAACCTTTGGAATGCCCATATCTTCCAGGATGACTCGGGTATCTAGTAGCCGCAAGATAAGATGGACTGGAGGTTGGAAGCCAAAAGACTAAGAATACTGGATAGTATGTGGAGACATAAAGAGATTCCATTAACAATGAATGATATGGCCAAATGACTGCTAGCTACATTTCATCCACCACCGCTGTCCGTACTAACATCAAAGTCGTTTCATAATGTTCCGAGCTATCATGATACTCAAGGGTACCTCACACCAAAGACGGGCGACTCCGATTTGTCCCAATCACTCTCCTTCTTCTCATCACCGAAGATTCTCAGAGCCCTGTAAGCAACCTTGTACTTTCCAGCAGGTGCATAACCTCCATTAGCCAACTTTCCATTCCAGACAACGGAGCCCTTGCCCATGGGGTTCCAAAGAGTAGGGAAGCCAGCAGGTGCTCCCAGGCTCTTGGCAGTAGAGTTACCAGAGACGGGAATGAGTTCAGCCTCAAGCTTGGCGGATCCGAGGGCGAGCTTCCATGCCAGAGCAGGAGCGGGCTTCTCGTCAGTAGCGTTCTGGCCCTTGATGGGGAGAAGGAATGTGGTGTTTGCGGGAACGGGGTTGAGCTCGTCCTTGTCGTTGGACTTGCTGATCCAGGTATCGTCAGAGGCGAGGACCTTGGAATCGTGGAGAGAACCGGTGAGACCTTGGTAGGGGAGAGACAGGGAAACACCAGTGCCGTTGACGGCGATGTAGCCAGACCAAAGTGCGAGACGCTTGGCATCAAGACCCTCGGGAGGAGTAGGGATGACCTCAATAGTAACAGAGTCACCAGCACCGACACTGACCTTGGCTTCGCTGAACTTGAGGCTGGCGTGGCCATCGGCAACATCGTTGGGGAACTCAGAAGCATAGATGCTGTCCTTGGCAAGAGTGTAGACGCTCTTGGTAGGAACATGAGAGATACTGAGATCGAGATCTGTCTTACCAGTGTTGTGAAGAGTGAAGTTGAGAACCTCGGTGAAGTGGTCGGTGTCGTTGAAAGCCAAGCTAGAGCGGCTCAACAGGAGGGTAGAGTACGCAGCGTCATAGGCTTGGATCAAACCACCACCCTGTTGAGGGACAGGGGCAAGGTAGTCGTAGAACTTGGCTCCGTCGTTGAAAAGAGTAGGGTTGGAAGTAGACGACAAGAGGTTCTCAAGGACTTCAGGGTCAAGAGTACCACGGACCTCGGCAATAAGGGCAATAACTCCAGCAACCAAGGGGCAGGCCATGGAAGTTCCAGAAAGGACGGCATAACCGCCCTTCTTGAGAGGGTAGGTCGAGAGGATGTTTCCACCAGGAGAGCCAAACTGGGGCTTGACATCGAGTTCCCAGGTAGGACCCCAAGAAGAGTAAGTGCTCACAGCGCCACCGGTAACATTGTTCTTGCTCTCCTCAAGAATGACCTTTCCATCAGAGCCATCAGACATCTCGAGGGTGACGGTAGATCCAGCCTTGAGAAGCTCAACCCACTTGACACCAGTCTTGGCGGGGACCATACCAGCAGCAACGATGCCCTCAACGGTCGAGACATCAATGGCTGAAGCACCGCTGGCAGCGTTGTTGTAGACGAGGAAGTACTTGGCGCCATGCTTAGCAGCGTTCTGGGCCTTCTGAACAAAAGTACAGCTTCCGCGACGGACCAAGACGATGTACTTGCTAAGATCAGGAGTGTCATCAGGGTAAGCATCACAACCGCCGTTGGGGACAGTAGGATCCAGGTTAGGAGCCCAAAGAGGGAGGGTGACGTTGCCCCAAGCAGCAGGGCTGCCAGCAGTGGAACCGAAGTCGATCTTCTTGCTGCTGTTGTCAACAGTGTAGTGAGAGATATTCAGAAGAGAGACGTAGTCGCTGTTGTCGTAAGAAGCGATAGCCATGACCTTGTTACCGTTGGCAGCAGTGCTGGCGTAGAACATACCGACATCACCGGAGTTACCAGCAGAGACGGTACAAGGGACACCCTTCTCAACGATGCGAGAGACGGCGACGGCCCAGGGCTCCTCAGACCAACCACTGGGGCCGCCGATAGAAGCAGTGATGATGTCAGCGCCATCCTGGTAGGCTTGGTTGAAAGCGGCGATGAGAACATCGTTACCGGCCTCTCCAGAGCAACCGAAGACTCGGTAAGCACCAAGGGTGACTCCAGGAGCAGCACCGGTGAAACCGTACTCGTTCTCTTGGGCAGCAATAATACCAGCGACGTGGGATCCATGGCCTTGGCAATCCATGGGGTCCTCATCGGGGTAAACGGCATTGAAGCCATCGTACTTATCACCAACGAGATCAGTACCGAAGGAAACAAGACAGTCGGGACCAAAGCAACCACCAAGAGCAGGGTGCTTGTAGTCAATCTAATAATGTCAGCCAGGACCTAAAGTCAAGAGTATAAGACTTACACCAGTGTCGACAACAGCGACCTTGATACCATGGCCAGTGATACCCTTCTCCCGAAGCTTATCAACCTGGACCTGAACGTGAGGTGAGAATGTATCAGCAGTATCATTCAGATCACGCTTCTTGAGAGGAGCCTTCATGCCAGGCGTGGCAGTCCACTCAATGCGAGGCTTAGGAATGCTGTAGACCTTGACAGGCCACATGTTCTTGACAGCGGGAAGAGCCGCCATCTTGGCAGCCATGTCCTCGGCGGTAGAAACATCGTCAAACTGGATAGAAACGCCCTTGAACAGGTCGTAGTCGAACTTGACGCGGGTGGTGTACTTGTCATCAGCAGTCCTGTAAAACTTGGCAGTATCCTACTACTGTTAGCAGCGAAGGGACAGTTGGTGGTGAGATCCGTACGTGGTTCTCCTCAAACTCGAAGATGTAGGCACCTGGGACGTGCGTAACAGCGGTACCCTGCTCAGTGTCTTGAACGGCAGCGGACAGCCCTGCGAAAAGCAGAGCCGTCAATCCTAGACGGACCATAATGAATGTGTGTAGTGTGATATAAAGAGTGACTTGTAAAGAGTGACAAACAATGCAATAAAGAGTGTGGAGCAGCCAAAGAGTGACAGGATACCAGAGCGAGTGGTTGAAGAGAGGACCTTGGCAGATCAACGGCGTTATCACAACATTATATAGGCTACACGGAGTGTCCCGCCCTCTTTGGAATATCTGTATATGTCCAGATCAAGCAACCCCGTCTACGGAGTATATGCAGGAACATGTGATGCCCCCCAGCGACACAAACTCAAAGCTGCATGACCTCCCATAAATGCTTCAAACGACCTCCAGAAGTTCCAGAGCAATTACCATAAGTTCCCTCGCTCTTATCAACAGACCTACCAGATTAAAGTTAGCGCATGGAAGATCGGACTAGCTGATCGAATGAGCGTCTAGATGCTGGACTTGGCGCTCAGGGGAACTGCAGGGATTAGCGTTGCAATCGCGCGGGCTCAGTATCGAATGGGGGACGTTAGCCCGTGGGACTTTTATCCAAGTGCCGCGACTCCGCTGCCTGATCCGTAATTTTAATCTGCTCTGCGGATATGTATGTCGATTGATAGAGCAGGTAGACGATGGGACCTTTTTGTCCGTGGGTTTAGGGGTTTCCTATCGCGGTTAGGAAAGATGGCGACATTCAAGGCGCGGGATTTCTCCGCTGATAGCGGAATGTATAGTCAATCGCGGTAAATAGAGTTATGAAGCCGCCGTAGCAGTAAAGACCATCAAAGGTAATCGTGACGATAGACTTCAGCTTGTTGGAGATCACTTTATTCTCGGGCTTTTGCGGCGTATCAAATGAATATCTCCGAGCAGGATCCTTACTCGTGTAAACCGTAATTGCTGTATTAGACTTTCGTCTTACCCTGTAAGAACTCTATCTGACGGAAATATGAACCAAACATGTAACCTAGCGACTGGCAAATCCCTTAAGTCCAAAGTTTCAGGGTTTCATCGGTTCGTTGTTGGGTGTTTTTATTGCTATATTGGAGGTGTTGGGTGATAAGAACACTGTGCAATAATACTGAGGCAATGCGGTGATTTCTTAGATATCTACTCATCACGTCAATACCCTGTATCCGCATCTTCCGTGAACGAACTCTATCAAGCTCGGATGAGCTTTTCTAACAATGACGCCACGCCCAACACCTTTTCCTCTTCATACCTCCTTCCAATGATCTGCACTCCAATATCAAGCCCTTGCATCGCCTCAGGATTGTAGAGGCCCCGTATCCACTCATCAATCGCGTTGCGCGGCGCATAATCATGTAGATAACTCTGGCGTGCTTCGTCAGCCGCAGCGACATATATACTAGACGATGTTGGATCTCCCGGGCTTCCAAATTTTGCAAATGGGAACGACATGGCTGTGTAGTCGAGAAAGTTCCATATCTTGGAGTAGCCAGTCCATCTGCTCGACCTATGCGGAACAGCTGTATGAGGCGATACAGGACTGATTATAATGTCGACGCATTCTCCATCCTCGAGACCAGCAGTTGTAGTCCATTTCCTATTGTAAGCCTCCTGTGCTGCCGTCTTTCGGCGGTTGAGTTGCCAGTATTCATACACAGATATCGGTTTGGATGAGTTGACCAGCGCCTCGACATGCGCAATCATCGGCTCGCCTGCAACAGCGACTTCGGTCTTGATATCCTCCCCACCGTCTGCACGGTAGAACTGGTCCTGGATCTCGATGCAGCTTGAGTGGTCTGCTGTACTCCACGGAATAACTTTGTGCCCTGCCTTTTCGAAGATTGCCACTGCACGGCGGACGGCTTCTTGGATTTCTGGATGAGGTCGCACGACTCCATCGTCAAGGATAATGCCGATGGTGAGTTTTCGCTTCTGCACGCCCTCAAAACCGGCCTGTCGCCATGGAATCGGGACGACGCCCGGATCAAGCTTCCATGGTTCTGCTAGCAGACATTCCTTGGTCAAAGTGATGAGGTTCGGGAGCGATGGACTCATGGGACCAATTGATGAAGGAACATGAGACTGTCCCTCATGAGAATTCGCTGCACCGGAGTATGAGAACCGACCAGACGAAGGCTTCAGTCCAAAAAGGCCGCATAGGTGACTTGGAACGCGGATTGAACCGCCAATGTCAGTTGCCCAGCCCCCAAGTGATCCAGACATTCGCATCAGAGTAGCCTCTCCACCTGATGAGCCACCTGGTGAAAGCTCTGGTCTACCAGGATATGTAGTCAGTCCCCAAAGTGGGCTTTCAGTTTCGCCATACATGATGCTCTGGGGGATAACTGTCTTCGTTATGATGACGGCACCTAGCTTCTCCAGAATGCTCACCATCACGGCGTTGTCGCTGGCGGGCTTGAATGAGCGGCCGACATAGCCTAGCGTAGTATCGACGCCAGCGACGTTGAACTGGTCTTTCACCGAGACCGGAATGCCATGGAGAGGACCAATGAGCTGTTTGTGTTTCTGGAGGTACTCATCGAGACTTTTCGCGCGTTCAAGTGCACTATCGAACAAAGGTTCGCTGAGGCAGTTTGTCTAAAGAAAGTCAGTCGTGTTCGCGGGCGGACATACTATGTGCGAACCTCATTGTGTGAAGCGATGGCCCTGCCAAAGAGTTAGCAATTGGCATCTAGCTTATAGCGATGGGAGAGGTTTACCTGCGGATCGTAACAGAGACCAGTTTCTCTGCTGTTATCTCCCCCGTCCTCAATTTTTCGATAAGGGAGGAAATATCGGCATGTTCTGGGACAATGCTTTCATCGCCAACGGCGGAGAGCTGAGCCTCGCAGCTTTGGATGGCACCATCACGATCTTCCCTTTTCTGCTTCACGGTAGTCTCCCAATACATAATGCTCAATATTTCAACTGTGATTGTAGAACAAATTTGGATATTTTATAAGAATTGAGAATCTAAAATGCCTCGTTTAAAGGAGAATCTTCACGGAGCTAGTGGTTCTAGAACCGGCAGTTGATGGCTTCTCGTGATAGAGATAAGAGGGTCGCTCCGAACTCGGCACTGTATCCCCGAAAACGTCCCCGCAATTCAAACCCGAGATGCAAGCTATTTCGCATTTCGCATTTGAAATGAAGAGTGAAACCAACACAGAAGAAGGTATCTACATAGTCAGAACAGACCTGAAGCGAACCTTTCCACTCTCCATCTTCTCAAAAGCCTCTCGGTGCTGAGTCGCAAAGTCAAACTTCTCAATGATACACTTGATACCATGTGTGTGCGCAAACGCGATAGCATCCTCTGAATCTTGCTGATGTCCCGTGTTCCATCCGTGCACACTGAGATTCTTCATGATCATGTGAACCGTATTGAACTCAACAGGTCCAAGAGGTGAGAGGACGACCAGCTTACCAAGAGCCGCAAGACCTCCTGTGAGAGGGCTGACTGCCTCTGCATTCGGGGCCGTTGACAGGATCATATTAGCCCCTCCAAGCTTCTGCAACGCCTCGCAGGGATCTTCTTTGCTGGAATCGATGTAATGATGGGCGCCCAACTTCATCGCAAAGTCCTTTTTCTCGCTTCCGGCGCTCATGGCAACGACGGTGTATCCCATCTTGGAGGCATACTGAAGCGCCAGATGACCCAGTCCGCCTAGACCTTGGACAGCTACCAGACCACCTTGGAGGACACCGATCCTGCGAATGGCATTGAAGACGGTCACTCCAGCGCAGAGGAGAGGGGCGATTTCGGCGGGGTCTGCGTCGGAGGGGATTCGAACCGCAGCTTCGGCGTGAAGCAATACGTATTCGGCGTATCCGCCATCCATGGTCACGCCGTTGATAGCACCATTGTCACAAAGTTGGAATGATCCAGTTTGACAGGAACGGCATGTTCCATCGTGCCCTTGTCGCAACATCATCAGCCAACCGCCATAATAATTTATAAATGTACAGAGACTTACCGCCATGCCAGGCACCACCAACACGCTCGCCCACCTTGACGTTGGTCACGCCATCACCGACAGCAACGACATCTCCAACGAGTTCATGACCCGGTACACGAGGAAATAAATCTCCAAAGCGGCCTTGCTGCACCCACGAATCAGAGTGACAGATGCCGCATGCGAGAACTTTGGCCAAGATGAAGCCTGGGCCAGGTTGTTGAAGTTCGACTTCTTTGAGGGCCAGCTTTGAGCCACTCTCATCGATAAATGCAGCTTTATAGGTCTTGGGAAGAGCCATGTTGTCAGAGGGGTTCAAAGTGTGAGATGGTATGCTTAGAGTCAGTCAATTGTTGTTGTGTTGTGATGAGACACTGATTGCTGTGATGGTACACTCTTATATATACCATTCTGTCCCCGTCGCTTGATTTATCAGCTCGGAAGTATTTAGTAATTAAACTGATCCTTTGCGCCAAGAACGCCGTCACTAGGCGTGCTGTCGTGTCGGCGTAAGTGAAGTCGTGTTGCAGTCCGCTTCGAGAACCGAGATTGAGAGCCGAGCACCGAACAACACCAACGCGCTGACCATTTGCCAAGGAAAAATACAACACGGGTTAGGTATTAATAATGCGACATTCATCAACCCTATTAGGTTGATTAGATTAAGATAGATTGTAACTATAGCGAACCAGAGGTCTCCTCAATGCCACGCTCCTCCATAAGCCAGTCAAAGTTATCCATCGCACTAAAATACGAAAAATGATCCCAACTACCCGCGAAGTCGATTGCCCCAAGCTCGGTTACAGATGAGGTAACAGTTGGATTGTTCAGAATATGATCAAGGACCTTCTTAATAACACCTCGCACATTATGAGCAACTGAACAGTGTGTTTGTGATGGACAGGAAGTCTTGAGATATCCCAACAGAAGACTGAGTTGTTGGATGATTGATGATCGGGAATATGCCTCGCCAGCAATGATCCTATCGTGCGCTGGCATTGTCACTGGGGTCGGTTCTATGAGTTCCATGCACAGGACGGCTCCGGCGAGGGTCGCGTATCCCATGATCTGAACGGTGTTAGACCGGGATGGCTGACTTGATTTTAGCTGGAGCGGAAATATTGCCGACTTACTATCCATCGGCATTTGCCTTGCAAAGCAGCCCAGATGTGTTTCTGGGCCCAGAAATTCAGCGTCAACACCACCATCTCGAAACTGGTTCGGAGAAGCTCATTTCTTGGATGGCCATGTTTGGCGAATAGACGCTGGATAAGGAACATGTTGAGCAAATGGTCTAGTCTTATCAGTAGCTTCGGATAACCGATTTGAAGGTCTATTTCGTTTATTTCCTCTGCTGTTGGGTTCCAGATCAGATGCTGAGGAAGCTGTCCATAAAGATCAAGTTGTTTGGTTTTGAGTTGCCTTTTCATAAATGAATGATTAGACAGAGAAGCATCTAATAATAGGGCCTTACTTACATGACTTCTGTAATGTCGTAAGCTCCATCTTGAGCGAGTACAACTTCGAGGATCTCGTCTCTGACAAGCGCAATCATCATGCGAACACGCAAAAGCGAGCTCGAGTAGATACGACCATCTGTGTTCCATCCGTCCTGATCAAGGAGTTGAGATCTCCTCTGGAAGGTTTCTTTGTCCGAGAGCAAGGCTGACTCTTCTAGGTCAAGTGGTGACTTGATAGAGCAGAATCTCCTCGTAAGAAGAGGCGGTCGTCCAACAAAGGTAGCCAGGAATTTATCGACTACGAAGACCTGACATCCGATACGCCTGCGGATCTCGGTAGGTACTGATGATATATGCGGTGTTGACTTGGCTCGATTATCGTGTAGTCCAGAGAACGTCAACATCGCGACTGTCTCTGCATGGAACTTCCAGTACGGCAAACCTACAGTAGTCAGAATCAACTATACGCAAATAGACGTCTGGGAAACTTACTGGTCTCACCGTGCATCCATGCATGAAGAACAGATCGCTTGTACATCAGAAATAACATCAAAGTACCCGAGCTCCCGCCCATATTCGCAAGAGTTATGCATGAAGCACAATATTCAGTGCACTGGCGAATTATCCTCTTCGACTCTTCATTCGAAGTAGCTGTCAGCTCGCTCAAAGCTGTGTATAGGAAGATAACGCCAACAGTCTCCCAGCGTAGATTCTCTCCCGAGAAGCTTTGAATCCATGCAGTCGGGTCATCCTGGTCCTCTCTGAGTGTTTTTCTTGTGTTGATACATATTCTACTCCCCATCTCCCGCAACTTTGCTGTGTTTGCTTTGTCACTAAGATGAGACCCGAATGCCTCCCAGGTACTAGTTAGGAGTCTATCACCAATACTAGCCAGCCAGTCCTCATCAAGGCTAATTCCAGGTTTCGATCTATACATGGACGGCTTTTGGGGTAAGGCTTGGAGTACTCTGACAGCAAGTTGACTTGCTCCTTGATCCATATCCACAATACTCTGTATCTCAGCCACCGATGGTGGAGCTGAGATAGTTGGTGAAGAAGGCGTGTCGACCACTGCCACTGCGGGTCCCTGTGCAGCCAAACTAGCCTCAGTCTCTTGATACGCAGCCGGAAAGCTCGTAGGTCCGAAGAAGCCCTGCGGTGGTCTCGCAGCAGGTGAGCTCCATAACCCATCGTCAGGCCCAAAATTCCGCTGGGTTGAAGGGACTGCGGCCTCGGAGTTCGAGGCCGACGCTTCGGAGACTTGTTGCTGAGAAGTTCTCGCTCGAAAGAGAGTCGCTGCTTGTTCAGGCGATACATAGTAACACGCAGATGCACCGTTCGGCCGCTTTCTGCACCGGTGACAGATTGGATAGCCGTGGTCGCACGCCACTTTTCGGCGCCGACAAGGCTCGCATGCTTGCTTCTTGCCGTTACGCCGAGTAACGGGTGGACTAGACATGACGGTCTGAATTCAGCTCATGTACCGATTGAGTTCAACTTTGAGCGCCGAGGCTGAGATGCGCCGAGTGTTATTTGGGGGCAGAGACGAAGCTGTCAGCAGACGGTGCTGACAGCCAAGGCCGAGCTCCGAGGGCCGACGCATTGGAAACAACCAGCCAGGAAATTTTACCTAGTGCTTATTCGACTCTAAGCCAAAAGCCTGTGCATTAGAAATGGATAGAAAACCACCGCGCCGCATAATTACCTTTTTATGCTGGTCAAGGTCGACGCGAAAACTGCGACTGTCTAATGGATCTCGCGATTTCTCACCCAGGATTTGAGGCATGCAGATATACAACAGAGGGTCCGAGGCATGACTGCACCAGGTAAAACACCGATTCATATTGAAAGTCAAATAATACATTAGCTATCCACCAAGCCTCATAAGGGTATCCCGTTCAATCTCTCCCCCATCTTTCGATACAGCCATTCCTGTTGTTTTCTAATCCCAACCCCAGTTCGTCTGAAATAGGCCCTAGCAGTCCTTTACATCTTGTTTCCCAGTAAACCAGTGTATAGTATAACTTGCACATTATGCCCAAAACCAGATTTTCCATCTCTAAGCCTCGAAGCTTTAATGCTGCATTTCCAGAATGCAGTCAAATGTAGTAGTGTCAGGGTATTCTTTGATGATGACGTGATCGGTGTCCAGATCGTATCACTTATAATCGTGAGAAATGAAAGAATCACATGTATCCGCCCGTGATGTGCGTCAGCCAGCCTTTGACGCGTTTTGAGACTGGTGAAGCGTCGTCTTCGCCGTCATCCTCGGCAGGTCGCTTTTTGGACTCATGCGTCGGCATTTCTTGAGTCAGCGCCTCCTCGGCTGGTGTCTCTTCTACTGCTATCTCTCGACTTGGCTTCTGGTGTTCTTTTGCCAAGGTGCTCATGTCGCTGGCCGATGCGCTCTCGCCTTGGTCGGGCGCATGGTCGAAATCGTAAATGGGCTCGTCTGACAGTTCCGAGGATACGTCAGAGCTGAGTTCGATTATCGGCACGTGATCCTGCCTATCGCGCAGCTGATATCTGCTGCCCTCATTCGTGAGCACTTTTTGCGGTTCACGAGCTGGTGAGAGCTGCCGCGGTACAGAAAGCCGAGGCAATTCTGGTTCCTCTGATTCTTGTTGTTGTGGGTAGGGTATTGATTTCTGTTGTGACTTTGGTTTGGGTTTTGGAAGTAAGCCCGCAAGGGTATGTCGTCTGATTTCTTTGGTGGTCTCCCGCAAATGAGCGGCCAATTCACTGTGCGGATCAAGATGCCAGAGAGTGCGCTCGATGGTAGCGCGCAGCATGTGAAGATTCCCCTCCTCGTGAGCGGCGCGCTCAGCGGCGGTGAGCTTGGCCATGGCAGCTTGGGCTTCTCTTCTGGTGGAGGGTCGGTAGAGTGAGCTCATGAAGTGAAAGTGAGGGGACGGGTGGGGACACGTGTTTAGAGCGGTTCAGGCGATGCCATGGACGGGTACTTTGATTTATCTCATGCAATCTCGATTTCTGTCCTGAGCGTAGATATGAGGTATTGTCTTCTTGTCATGTCTCTTGAGGTTGAGGCTGGCGTGAATAGGGTTGGACACGATCGGTCGGGAATATTAAGAGGTTGGTTTTATTTTTCAAGTGTCCCCACTCGGGACGGGGTCTTTTATTTATTATGCATGGTGAGCTGTCAATGCTACTGGAGCCTGAAAAACCGCGTGGTAGCATCCGGTGGGCCCTGTTGATAGCGATAGGCCAATCAACTTGACGATGACGACAACGGATGACTCATCCCTGACTTGCGCTATGACGTCTATGGCTTAGACTGACCACTCAAGGCACGATAACTCGGTGTTTCAGGTCTCCACTAAACTGTTTTTAGACCATCCAGGTCAGCCTTAGGGTAGCTTCGTCTCTTTACCTCGCATCTGCCAGCTTTTAAAAGAGCTAGACAAGTGTTTTATATATGTAACTGATAGTATTATATATCTCTGAAAGATCTAAACTATACTCATGCCAGTTTTCCGCTAAGAAATTAGTCGGATAAAGACACCAAAAGCGAATTGGTAGCCAGTAGCCCGTTTTGAGTTCAAATGTCATGTTCCAACGATCGGTCGTGAGCCTTACTTCCGAAGTATGAGCTTCTCAAATGTACAAGCCGATGATTCTCACAACTTAGCTATAGCGTAGAAAGACACAGCAGTCCAGATATGCATTTAATTGTTTAGAACTATCACTAGTCTAAGCTTATCACTCCTACATCAGTCCCCGTTGCTTGCTTTATCGCATAAGACACTAGATCCAACGTATCCTTCGGAACAAACAGCTCATCCGTGGTACCGATAACCTTATCGAAATGAGCCAAATAATCTCCCGGACCCGTCGCGCGAGAATGCCCAGGCACCGTAGCCAATGTCGTCCTCGCGGCTCTTCCACCACCAACACTGAATAGCTCTCCAGATACCGGACACTCCGCGCTGCACAATGCCACCACAAAATCCGCCACGAGATGCGTGTGGAAATACTCCCTCGTAATTCTCTTGATAACAGGCGACAAGTCCGACATGCGGGATGCTGCTGAGGGGAGAACGCCGTTGATCTTGATACCATGCTTGGGACTCATGCGCCCAAGATCGCGGGTCAAACCAAAGGTGGCACCTTTGCTTGACACATAACCACCATCACCACCCGCTCCCATGCCAATCAGGCTGTCAGAAGAAGTATTAACTATCCTCCCATACCCTTGCTTCTCCATAGTAGGATACACTGCACCAATGAGCATAACTGTACCCAGCGCAGCAATCTCCCACGTCCGGCGGAAGGATTGGACGTTCACATTGTCGTGTGAGCTGGCCTCACCTGCTGTGCCTGCATTGTTGACGAGGATGTGAATAGTTCCGTATGCCGCTAGCGCACCCTGCACAAGCTCTTGGACTTCGCTCTGGACAGAGATATCATGACCATCTGCGATGGCCTCTCCGCCCTTTGCTTTGATCTCATCGACGACGGTTTGCGCACGGGATATAGTACCGCGCTGGCCACTGAGAGAGCCGCCGTAGTCATTGACGACTACTTTTGCGCCATACGACGCGAGCAGAAGAGCATACTCCCTACCGAGGCCGCCACCTGCACCCTGTGAAGAGTATCGTCAGTGCTACCATGGATACAATCAGACATGAAGGACCTACAGTCACGATGGCAACGCGGCTTTGAAGAGACGTTAATTTCGTTTGGGACATGGTCAGGTGCAATTTGCTGTTGGTAAAGGTCGGGAATTAATTGAATGGTAAATGACCACCATGCTCGCTGGACTCGTTCTATAGTCAAGATTTCCCCGCACTCTGGGGCCGATTGTTTAGTGCGCGATAGCGCGCGCTGTTGAGTCAACACCCGCTAAATCTCGGGTTTAGGGGACCTCGGTGGGCTTGAGTCAGTAAGCGAGTCAGTGGACTAAATCGCCAAGTGAAACCCCATTTGGCCAAGGACGAGTTGCGTGGTCTCGATAGATACGCCACTTATCGATGCACGAAATCTGGGGAATAGATGAACTAACCTTAATCACTTCTCGGAGCGTTAAGAGTGTTACAAGTGAAGCATTTGCGACAACATGACCGACTACAGCACAATGTTCGAAGATACCAGATTGACAGCTTATCTGATCCTACTAAAGTGTAAGTCGAACTCAAAATATACCAGAAGAAGAGAAAAGACACTGACAGGTGTTGCTCAGATTATGTGATTCCTAGGACCAGACTACGAGCCCTTATATCGCGGATTCTTGGGAAGCAAGAACCCACACTTCAGCATATGCTCGCCAATGCCACGATCCGATGGTGAGAATCAGTAATCTTGCATGTGTCCCAGTGCTGAAGATCTAGGTTATCATCTACGCTATCGATACACCAATTCAGAGCTCTCAGCTCTGGCCAGTGTGATGCAACTGCTCTGCTGCAGAACTGCCCGACTCTACTCGAGGAGAAAGCCAGGGCCGAAACGGTACTCATTCTGTAAATACTTGATCGCTTCCATATTCTGACGAGAACAGATCATGGGAGACGACTATCGGGGGCATTACCTGGTCAAATATCCCAATCCGACACACATCATATTCTATGTGTACGGAGGCGGCTTTGTCAGCGGTTCGGCAGGATCCGTGATGCCGTATCTGCTACAATTGAGCATTGAGCTTCAGGCCCGGGGCTTCAAAGCTGACATGTTCGTTGCGGAGTACGACCTCGCCCCAGAGTATCCCTACCCCAGTGCTCTGAGGCAAGTCGTCTCAGCATATAGATACATCGCCAGTCGGAATTTGCCCATCATTCTGGCTGGTGACTCGGCTGGGGGAAATCTCTGCTTTGGGCTACTTCGACACCTGGTCATGCCTCACCCGAGTATTCCACCACTCATGCAAACTCAGGGAGAGACCGGAAGTATCGCGGTAACTTGCCTGAACAGTCCCTGGGTCAATTTGCGAAACAATGGGGAATCATACCGGCAGAATGCGAACCAGGATTGTCTGGATAAGGGCGCTCTCGACCGTTGGCGGAAAGCATATCTTGATGGGAAGCCTCTGGATGAGTATGCAAACCCCATAGATTGCTTAGATGGTTGGAAAGAGATTCTGCCCAAGAACACGCTCTTTATAGCCGGCGACCTGGAGCTCTTTGTCGCCGACATACAAAAGCTGGCTCAGAACATCCTCAAATTAAGTCTTCCCACTATACGCCTTTGGTGACTTTGAAACTGACCACTATAACAGAGCGGCTATAATAACCTAGAAATGCATGTTGAGCCCAAAAAGGGGCATGTCTGGGGTCTGGTTGACTTTGGCAGTTCACAGCCTGGGCTACCGGCGGCTCGTGGTGGACAAGAGGAAGATCACGTGTATTCTGGTATTCACTTACAGGCCGACTGGATCGCCGACAAATGTCGAGTCTGAGTAGGGGAGGGCGGATCTATATTTTGTATATGTTTTGGAACCATCTTTCGTTTGAAAGGATCTGTGAAAAAGGTGAAACGAATCAAGTATTGGCGCTGATGATTTATCCATTACGCGTGAAACACTTGGACTTCTGTCCGGACGGTCAAATGAGTTATGATCTGTTTTTCCTGAGATCAATGAATCCGTGGGCTCGTGACTCGAGGAAACTACGAAGCATGCTCAACGAATACTTGTTAACATGTATTGTATCACACTTGGTGTAAGTCGAAGTTCTTGAAGATGCCTTGATTAGAGATAACTCAGAGTCTTGTAGGCATACAGGCAACAAGTTTTAAACGGGATAATGCTCAAGATAACTACTCGTTGTTCAAGTCAAGCTAATTACAAAGTACCAGTATAGGAAGCACCCAAGGTAGCTAGAAACCAGAACCTATCAACCAGAACCGGAACCATCCTAGGCGGTCTTATCATCAGACCCCGCCACCTCTCCCAGATGAGTCTTGTGGAAATGACGCGGCTTGACCTTGGCAGCATAAAGATCATCGAGCTCTGCAGTAGTTCGGTTCTTGGTCTCAGGGAGCCAAACCCAACATCCAGCAAATCCGATGAGAGTGGTTGCACCGAAAATGAAGCCAACCTTGCCACCAAGGTTACCAGCATCTGGGTTGAACATATATGGGAACACGAAACCAATGAGCCACTGAACGACACAGAGGACGATGTTGGAAAGGCCTTGGGTTCGTGAGCGAAGACGCCAGGTTGGAATCTCTGCCACGACGGTCCATGCAACTGTACCCAAGGTGATCTGGTAAACAAAGCCCTGTCGAAATAAAATTAGCACAGATATGGTTGAGAGGGGGATTGTTGACTTACCCAGACAAACATGAAGGCAATGGTGACGAGGTTTGTAGACCGACTACCAGGCAGAGAAGCTCCACCAACGATGAACAGCGTGATTGCACAGATAAACTGTCCCCACACAATAAGAGGCCGGCGACCAACGACAGTCAACAAGGGCCAAGAAAGGATGTTGGCGACAAACATGCTGCAATTGTTCAACATGCTCAGCAAGAAGGACATTTGTGCACCAAAACCAGCCAGTTGATAGTAATAAGACTGATACCCGAGAACAAAGATGATACCACTGAGATACTGGCAGCCATAGATGAACATGCTGATGAGAGTGCGTTGTCTGTCAGGCTTTTGAAAGCACGATGCGTAGGAGACCGACGACGTCTCAGTTCGGTAGTCCTGCTCATGCTGAATTGTCTGCTCGATAACGGCAAGGATGGCCTTCTTATCGATGTCCTTCGAATCACCGTGGAGACGATCGAGGGACTTAACAGCAGCGTCTCGGCGCCCAGCACGAACTAACCAGACAGGTGATTCGGGGCAGAGCCAGACGGTAGGAAGAACGATACCCGGGATGATCCATTGACACACAAAAGGGACGATATAAGAGTCGCGGTCGTTTCGGGGACCAAGTTTATACATAATTCCAGTGAAGAGTAGAGTGCCGCAGAACTGAATAAAGTTGGTCATGGCTGTGAGCCACCCTCGCAGTTTCAGGGGAGCAACTTCTGAAGCGTACAGAGGGCCGATGATGAGCCATGCACCGATGGAGAGACCATTGATGGCCTTTCCGACTGTCAAAATGGGAAGAGAGCCATCGCGAGTCGAGTGGTATTGAAGACCGACTCCAACGATAGAAATGGCACAGAAGAGCATGTTGGTGTATCGACGACCGATCTTATCAGCCAGCCATCCAGTAACGGCAGCTCCTAGGACAGCTGCCAGCTGAGACACACCGCCGTAAAGGCTCTGCCAAGTAGCAGGGATAATGTAAATCGTCGTGTCGCCTTGGGCAAGTGTAGTGCCATAGTCCTCCCTTGAAACCAGTCAGTATAAACACGCGTGTGAGCCGAGATGTAAGAGTACCTACCGAAACTTGGGGATTGCGAGGAGATTACCCGCAATGATGCCGTCTATGCCGTAGCCAAAAACAACAAGCTGAACGTATAAGATCCAGAGAGTACTTCGCCAGAAGACCCGAACGCTCTGGGCGAAGCTGAGGGTCTTCTCGTAGGCGATTTGGTTGGCAGCGGCTTCAGCATGATCCTCTGCCTGCTGCATCTCAAGGTGTTCAGCAGTAGTCATTGCCGTGGCCTCCTTCTTAGTATCCATGACAAATTATCTGACGAAAAGAGGTATGAGTAAAAGAGATCTTGATTCCTGTAAAGAAAACAAGGTTCTGTTGGGAGCAGGAGAAACTCGAGAATCCTCGTTATTGACAAGGGTTTTGTAGTTGAACACGATACGCCACAATAATGAAACTGTGCGTTCTAGACAGCGTAGTGGTGCAGTGCTACTGGTCAATGGGCCTCGCTGGTTACCAAAGATCGAGGAGCTACCAGATCAACCCCATGGGGAAGCGGTCCTGGGTCGCTTCTCTACAGGCCACGCACGATAGGGAACAGTTCCCCCGCGTGGAGGTATTGACTCGACGGGAGAGTCAGCTTTGCGGGGTTGGGGCTGCTAACCGCACTAGCTCCAGAGTCATGGGGCTAGCTTTGTCTGGGGTATGGAGTCAAGATTGGCGGTTGTCAACGCGGGGTCAGTTACCGAAGATCTGGATTTGTCCATCTCGTGGGTGTTGTATGCCAAGACCCTGTGCTTTATTTCTTTGCTGTTTCGTCGCAATCTGAACTGATCTGTCTCTTCATACTCATCCTTGTCGACTCACTCACCCATCAAGATGACAGTCTCAAACGGAAACAGCTACGCAACAACCTTTGACAACCGGGTCGGTGGTACGCCCATTACTCGCGATAATGACGGTCCTTACCAGGTATCTGAGCATATCCTATGCGCGCCAAGAAAGCTCCGAGTTGGATGTATAGGAGCTGGAGCTTCTGGGATCATGATGTGCTATAAGAAGGAGAAGGAATTTGGCGATGACATTGACCTGGTAGTTTATGAAAGTGAGTGAAACATGGCCCCTAAGGAATATCCTGCATAGTCTAATCTCCAATTTCTCCAGGGTACCCCAAGCCCGGTGGTGTCTGGTACGCCAACAAGTACCCCGGTTGCCGCTGCGACGTTCCTTCGCCCGCCTATCAATACCCCTTTCACCCAAAAGCAGATTGGTCCAAGTACTATTCCCCGGCTGCTGAGATCCAGTCGTATTACGAGTCATTTGCAAGAGAGAAGGGTTATGTGGATAACTACATCAAGCTATCTCATCGCGTCGACAAAGCGACTTGGGATGAGCCCAACGGACAGTGGATTCTGACTGTAACGGAGACCACTCATGGCCAAGAGCGAACTTTCGAGGACCGAGTCGACTTTTTGATCGCCAACATTGGCATCTTGAATACTTGGAAGTGGCCCGACATTCCCAACCGCGAAACCTTCCGTGGACACATGACCCATTCAGCGGACTACGATACCAATCTTGATCTACAAGGCAAGACTGTGATAGTAATTGGATCTGGCGCCTCTGCCATCCAAATTGTGCCAGCCATCAGGTCGACAGCAAAGAAAGTTATCTCATTCTATCGCACACCGCAGTGGATTGGACCCGGTTTACCCATGGAAGGCTACACGGACTCGGAGGGACGAAACTTTGTCTGTGAGTTGAAGAGACCTCGCTTGCAGGCTTACCTAACATGGTTCTAGATACCGATGAGCAAAAGAAGAAATTCGCTGAAGACCCAGAGGCGTACTTGGAGCATCGGAAAGAAATGGAGACAAAGATTAACACGAGTTTTAAAAATAACATCGCCGATCACCCGAACCAGAAGATGGCTCGCGAGGTCAGAATACCTACAGCACTCCCCTCAAAAGATCGCCAGGCTCTAATGTATATCTACAGTTCGTGGCTAAAAGAATGGCCAAGATTCTCAAGAACGACGCGAGGTTGACACAGCGCCTGATCCCAACCTTTCCCATGGGATGTCGTCGCCTCGGCCCAGCTGAAGGGTTCCTTGAGTCGTTCCACGAAGACAACGTTGAACTAGCCGAAGGCGAAATCGAGTCTTTCACCGAGAATGGTCTACGTGTTGCCGATGGAACGGAGTATCAAGCAGACGTCATAATTTGCGCGACGGGCTTCAACGTCAGCTTCAAGCCACATTTCCCTGTCATCGGCCGCGATGATGTGTCGCTTGGTGAGGCTTGGAAGGATGACCCAGCGGCGTACCTTGCACTTGCTGCGAGCGGCTTCCCCAACTTTATGTGTAAGTTGACTCAGTACACGGACGGCTCTAGGTGCTAATTGACTTGCAGTGGGTTCGCTTGGGCCAAACTGTCCTGCGGGTCATGGATCGTTCATCACAGTCCTTGAAGCAGCGCAGAACTACATCTGCAAGGTCATCAGGAAGATCCAAACAGAGAACATCCTCACATTGGATGTCAAGCCTGAGGTTGTCGACGAGTACAACGAACATGTGCATGAGTGGTTGAAACGAACGTGAGTAACCCTCCTAAACCGTCAGATCACTTTGATTCGCTAACGCCTATGTTACAGTGTCTGGGCTGCTGGCTGTCGTTCGTGGTACAACCAAGGCCGGCCCAATGGCAAGATCACGGCGCAGTATCCAGGATCTCTCGTTCACTGGCGGTTGATGCTTGAGAATCCTCGCTACGAGCACTACAACATTCAGTACAGAAGCCGTAATAGGTTCGAGTTCATGGGTAATGGCTTTACGTTGCCGGAGGTAAATGGTGGAGATGTGGCATGGTATCTGGAACCAGAACACATAGCAAAGCCTCTCTTCTCAGAATAATTATAGATAGTCATGTCATTCATGTAACAACTATTGTACCTAGGTAGTGTTGCCCTTCCATTGAGGGTACTGATGAAAAAACTCCTTATCCAACTTCCAATTGTTCAAATCCAATATCTTGGACACGAGTTGTTGAGGATCATGCACTAAATCAGATTCAGACGTTGAGATTTCGACCGTGAGATATTTCCCAATATCGGTAGAAACGTCATACACACGATCGGGATCTGACATGGACATCTGAACGAGACCTTCTCGTATCGCGGGCCTGTCAACTGTCAGTGCGGAGTCTAGCGTGTAGAAAGTCGTGCTTACCATGCTATGAGATCAGCTGCCATTGGGTGATGCACAACGAGCTGCAGGGGTGTAGGTCGAAGCCAAGGCGGTAAACTTTGGTAGGCATCTTCACTACGAACAATCTGCCACTGTTACACGTTAACGACAGTCATCAACCGGCGGACGGGGATGCATACCCTTAATAGTAGATACAGAACCCAATATGTCGCAAGATACTCTGACGTCCGACGCGTTTTCCGTACCGGCTCCAAATAGACCTTCAGATCAGTCGACAGCGAATTCTGCTTATTGTCAACCAGAAAGTCAATCAGCACCGGCGGCCCGATGGACTCTGGGTTCTGGCTAGCACGTTGTATCATCTCATGTAGCAACACGTCTTTCGAAACCGACGAAAACATCAGCATAGGCATGTTTGAGCGAAAGGCGGGGAGGTTATGCTTCATGCACGCATCGAATAATTCTGTGAAGCCGTCGAGAGGATCGGGGGTACGTTGCCTTTCCTGGTGTTGTGATGAACCGTCCTCGACTTCTGGGAAATGATCTATGTCGTCGGCTTCTCGGAGGAGATGACTTGGGCTGGTTATCCACCTCATGGTCATTGCGGAGTCAGATTCATGCAGTCGAGGGGTCTGTATCCGGGATGAGTCTATCATAGAGAAGTGGTCTGAGTCTTTATTCCGGACTGTGAGCGATTGGGAGTGAGTCAGTTCGGTCGTGGCTCTGTCGCTTTCATCCGAATTATCCATGTTGGCCAGCGGAAAGTCATCTCCCAGAATCGCATCCATCTCATTGCCATCTGCGTTAAGTAGGTGGGAGCCATCATGAAGATCCAATGTGTCGCAGTGGATCAGGTCGTCCGGTAGATCGTGTCTCGATGTTGTGTCGTGAAGCATAAGTCCATCCAGATTCGAGATTCCGGTGGATTGCAAATGATTGTCCACGACTACTGGTGTTGGTTGCACTGTCGGACGCACTTGGGTGGTGTCGTTGAAGCTCGAAGACCTCACTGCAAAAGCCTGTGCGGAAGCATCCCTCTCATTATTGCTATCGTAGCTGGGCGTCGGACTGCCATCAGAACAGACCAACGGCACATTGAGTATCGAGTTTGATCGAAGGTCCCGTTGGCGTTGCAGTATATTCTCCATCTCGTCCCAGAGACCGCGCATTTGTTGGAGCTGCCGACTCAATTTGTTAGCCACCTCACTTCAGGCAGATAAACTGAATGAGAGAAGACCAACCTCATCTTGTAATTGCAGGTTCTGGGCAGCAAGTTGAGATGCCTCAGATTTACCAGCTGATTTGAGAAGAGATATCTGAGCCTCGAGTCCTTCGATGTACTGCTTCTGCCGCTTCCGATGCTGTCGTTGCGCATTCCTGTCCGTTTGGCGCTTCTTTGCGCGTCGCGTTTCAGCGTCAGCAATCATATTGATGGCCTCGTTTGCGTCAACCGACGGCATCGATCGCAGTAGCTGAGTGGCAGGATACAAAGTGTACAGTCTCTTACTGTGATATAGGTCGTGGTTATTGTGTAGCACTGTCAAATGAAGGCGATGGATGTGATGGACACGAGAGAAAGATTATTTGCCATCAGACCCTTTCCCCCTCCTTGCACTTCAGAGCGTGTTCCCCGAATTAGTTAGACTAACGGGGTCCTTGTAAGCCCCGGAATCGATCTCGACCCCGCAGATCCCCAGCTTTCAGGCGACCTAGCCCTGTAGTCTACAGTGCACCTCGAATCTGGCCTCAACAAGTGCTAATTACAACCATGTCTTAAATTGAGATGAGTAAAGCATGGAGTGCGGAAAATGACCCCAATTTCCAAAGAGTTATGCCTCTTTATTGGTTGATTTGCTGGTTTCAAGTCGATTGATAATAAATTGTGGACTAATATCTACCTATACACCTTATCTCGGGCTGTCTCGCTGGATCGACTTGCAATGCCGCCTCATGGAGAAAATAGTGAGGCCATCCTCTTCTTCTACGGAAGAAGCATACAGTAGTAAATAATACGCAGCACGGCTCGATTTTGATACCAAGAAGCTTATCGAGTAACAGCAACATTATGATCTTAATTACCCTCACCAGACCCTCACCCATTACACCAGTCCTTTCCAGGTCACGACCTGCCTTGGTACGAGCTGTGAACATTTGTTAAGGATGACTATTAGGTCGACTTATAAGAGGGAATGGAAATAATCAGACGAGGTCTTATTACTTATTCAAGTCACTTGTCATGCACTACCCCCCGCTGTTATTCACATCATTTCAAGCCTAACCTCAAATGGTTTTAGTGGTGTTTTAACCGAGGATTTAAGCTGACTCGACTCAATGACTCGACAGTTTCCCCCGCATCCAAGTGTCATTGTTCCCTGCACAGATTCCCCTCAGCAACCCCCCGTTCGGCTATGTACCGTCAGTCCGGGTCAGATAACGCCGAGTACGGCCTGGCTCACGATACGAAGATAATGAAAAAGGCATGGTCTACTAGCTGAAAAGTAATGGTTTGTCCACAGCACGTCCGTTGAATTAGCTTGTCTCCAATATTGAACTACCCATCCATCATGACTATCTCCCAAAGCAACAATGAGAGCAACGGCACGCAGCCACCAAGAATCCCAACCACACAAGGATATGGCCAGCATCCACTACACGACAGATCACAGAGGCCATTAAAAGTCATCGTCGTGGGTGCAGGCCCTTCAGGAATCGCAGCGTTGATTGAGTTGAAGAAACTCCCGCACGTTGAGATTTTATGCTTTGAGAAGAATGCTAATGTTGGAGGAACATGGTTGGAGACAAGGTACCCTGGTGCCGCGTGTGATGTTGCAAGTCACGCCTACCAGTATTCGTTTGACTACAAGACGGATTGGTCCCGACAGTAAGAAAAAACGAATTGAAAGTCATTTGACCTTTCTACTAACGATGATAGCTTTTCACCGGCCGAGGAAATTGGCGAGTACTTCATCTCAGTGGCAAAGAAGCACGATCTATACAATAGAATCACCTTCAACTCCCGTGTGATTGGCGCCGAGTGGGACGACGATACAGGGCTTTGGCGGGTTCAGGTTGCGCGTGACATCTCACCTGAGAGCGATGCTATCGTTGAAGACCACCATGCTCATGTTTTCATCAACGCGGGCGGTATTTTGAATGATTGGAAGTGGCCTGATATCGAGGGCTTGCACAACTTTAAAGGAAAACTGATACATACAGCTGCTTGGGTAAGATGAGACTTTTCCTTGACTTGAAGCCTTGACTAACAGTGATCAGGACCCCGAGATCGATCTCAAAGGAGCGTCTGTTGGCATCATCGGATCCGGCGCAAGCAGCATACAGGTAGTCCCAACCATACAGCCATTATGCGACAAAATCGACGTATATGTGCGATCACCTACATATATTCTTCCGACAGTTGGGTTCGGCATAGAGTCCTCTAACTTCAACGCGCCATGTATGGAACTATGATCTCCTAAACATCTCGATACTGACTGTGACCAGATACTGCGGCAGATATCGAGCGGTTTAACAACGACCCGGAGTATTACAAGGCGTTCCGAAAACAGATTGAACAACAGATGAATGAGAACTTTGCTGCTAGCATTAAGAACTCAGAGGCACAGGAGAAGGGCAGACAGGTATGCCGATACTCCCGCAGCTGGGAATTTCTTGCTAACCGAGATGTAGTGGGCAGAAAAGATGATGAGTTCAGCAATTGCCTCACCAGAGCTGAGAGAGAAGCTCATTCCAAGGTATCTAACTCCCTTGTTTACGAGCATATCGTTACTGACGGCGTGTGCAATAGTTGGGAGCTAGGATGCCGGCGACTTACTCCCAGCCTACCGTATCTCAAAGCAATCCAGGAGCCCAATGTGAATGTCATCCGAACGGGTATACGCAGGATCACTGAAAAGGGAATTGAGACGGACGATGGTGAGGTTCATGAAGTAGACACTCTTATCTGTGCAACTGGATTCAACACTTCTTTCTCTTCCAGATTCAACATCGTTGGTCGAAATGGTATGAGTCTACGTACTATGTGGAAGGCTAGAGGTCCAGAAGCCTACCTTGGAATGGCCATTGCAGGCTTGCCCAATTACTTCAGTGAGTTACAATGGATCAAAAATATTGAGGGATGTACTGACGATAGCTAGCTCTGTTAGGGCCTAACTGTCCCATCGCCAATGGTTCTCTGATTCCATGCATCGAGTCAAGGTACTTCTGCTCTCCTCTAATTCTGAGAGTTTCATGGCTAACAGCAATTGCAACAGCGCCAAATACATCGTGAAAGCGATCACAAAGATCCAAACAGACCAGATTCGCTCTTTGGATGTGAAGCAACCCATCCAAGGCGCGTTCAATGACTATGTTCAAGAAGTCCACAAAGACCTTGTCTGGACAGGATCTTGTCAGAGCTGGTGTATGAACCTTCAACCCTTCGACCCGAAAATCTCAGCTGATTCATGATTTGTGTAGATAAGGACCGGAAGTCAGGCCGAGTCGTTGCAGTCTGGCCAGGATCAAGCATTCATTTCATGGAGATGATTGCTAGCCCACGATGGGAAGACTTCGAAATCAAGTACATAAACGTGAGTGAAAAGATCTCTCAGGTGATAATGACTAACAAAAATCAGTCAAATCCATTTTCGTTCATGGGCAATGGTATATCTCAGCGCGAGGCGAGGGGCGAAGATCTCACATACTGTAAGTACCTAGAATTCATTACAACAGTATTTAGCTTACATATTCAGATCTCGATGATATGATACCGGAAGTGAAGGCATGATTTGGAAGAAGTTTAGGCGGTTTCTTTACGGAATTGGGGAGGAACGGATTCGTAGCATTGAAGCTGCAGTGAACCGGGCTTCTTTCATAGTCCAAGATTAGGTTGAACCGCAATGGAACTTGTGCCACCCGGATGACAAACTTGTCAGCTCTAATGATCTTGTTGTGATTGCCTACATTGCTGCATTTAACGTATCATGATGGTTACTATTTCCGTGACCGTATGTACTAGGAAGCTTGCGGTATTCTAATGATGACTCACTGCTGGCTCAAATCACTCGAGTCAGCTTGCTATGTCATAACTGTCAGACTATTGACTATAAGTGCCCGAAGGTCCCCCAGCTAGTACTCTTCTAATGACAGGCGACATTTATCTCGCTCATTGATCACTAGCCATGACACCTCAAAGCCCAGAGAAAGCATTCAACAGCGGCGTTGCAGTGATAACAGGAGCCGGAGGCGGTCTGGGTTCTGGTCTCGCACGCCATATCGCATTATTCGGGATGACCGTCATTATCGCTGACATCGATCTCAAACGCGCCAGAGAAGTTGCCTCAGAGATCATAGCCACGAAAGGAAAAGCTGAAGCGAGGGCTGTTGACGTATCTAGACCAGACGAGCTGGATGCACTGGCTGAATATGTTCACACTCACTATGGAGATGTTCAACTGCTCATCAACAACGCGGCAATCGAGACACTGGGTCCATTGTGGGAATTATCTTCCGCCCGATGGGAGGCGACTTTGAACATCAACATCCATGGTCCTATTCATGGTGTTAGGGCCTTTCTACCTCGCATGATCGCATCAGGGAAGGAATGCTGGATCGCCAATGTTTCGAGCGTCGGGGCGTTCACCACCATCCCAGGTCAATCAGCATATGCAGTCACAAAGCACGCCGTACAAGCTTTCACCGAGTCACTGCATGTGGAAATGAGGTCTCAGAAGACGTCCATACATGTTAGCTCTGTGATTCCAGGACTGCTGAATACGGGTATCTTCGACCGTGCTCAGCACGATACCTCAACGGGAGACGCGGCTTGGGAAGAACATCGGAGGTCAATGGCTGAGATGGCGCGGGAGAGGGGGATGGGTATTGATGAAGCGAGTCGTATCATAATACAACAGATCGCAGATGGGAAGCTGTGGGTTTCTACCCATCCAGCTATCTTGACTGAGATCTTGCAACAGAGGATCCAGTACTATGACAGCCAGGGAGAGCCTAATGTTCCGCCAGCATAGAGGACATAGCAATCATCAAGCACATTGTATTTATCATGGTAGACCTCAAGCACCTGATATCGCCGTAAGACTGTGAATCAACTTTGTTTGCATCTGGTAGTGGGCTTCCATCGACGATTAAGATGTTTGAGGCCTATAATTATCAGTCTGTGATGTATTGATAAGTGACCGTTCGAAATCCAGAAAGCGTACACCAGGATGTTGCATGCAAGATAATATGGTGACAATTGCTGTCTTACAGTATGTATTTTACAGTTTCGCCCTCTGCGACTCCATCTTCTCTTTCCATGAAGCCTTCAACACCCGACGCAGAATCTTTCCAGAAGGACTCTTCGGAATCTGATCCATAAACTCAATGCCTCCACTCAAACGTTTATGCTTCGCTTTCCTCTCCGCGACAAAGTCCTGTAACTCCTTCACAACCTCTGGCCCGCCTTGGACGCCGCCTGCAAGTACTACAAAGGCTCTGGGTGTCTCACCAGAATAGTCATCGGGGATGCCAATTATGGCAGCATCTTTGACTTTGGGGTGACCATGAAGAAGATCTTCGAGTTCAGCTGGAGCTACTGCATGTCCTCGTACCTGCATGGCTAGGGTCAGTTCTTGGAACATTTTGTAGCAGGAAGTGAGACTGACCTTGATCATCTCTTTGATTCGGTCGTGGATCGTGATGAATCCTTCGTTGTCGATTGAGCCAAGGTCACCAGTCTTGAAGAATCCATCTTCTAGATACGATGCTGCTGTTTCCTCAGGGCGATCCAGGTAACCCATAGTGACTTGAGGCCCTTTGGCCCATATCTACCAACATGTCAGCCAGCTCTGACACTTCTCAGAACAAAGGGTTTCTCACCTCTCCGGCATTTCCAGCTGGCACATCATCTCCTGTGTCGGGGTCTACCACGCGTATTTCAGTCCCTGGGACCAACTTGCCAACCTTTGAGGCGTTGCTCCAGGTGCTCAAATCCGGCGGAGTCACCGTCAAGCAAGACGTTGTCTCTGTCATGCCCCAGGCTTGTCGGACAGCAACAGTTGGGAACTTTCTCGCAAGCTGGGCGATGACCTGATCAGCCAATGGGGCTGCGCCCGTGTTGAATTGTTTGACAAATGATAGGTCGTATCCTTGAGCCGATTTATCGTTTAACAATCGGATGAGCAGAGCTAGGCAAGTCAGTTCAAAATTCTCTTGACAGATAACAAGGCTAACTCACGAGGCACAAGCCATAGCTCATCGCATTTGAACCTCACAATGGTCTCCATCATCTGCTTCATATCGAACTTGGCCATTATAACCATTTGCTGCTCGAGAATAATAGGTAAATGAAGTAAATGAACCAGACCAGTGACTAGTCTTGTCAGTCAAGGACGCCCAGAAAGACTACTTCACTTACTATGGTAAAAGGGCAGAACACCCAGTACAGTCCGCCGCCGGTTGGGTGGAGTGAGAGCGCTGATCTGACGGAGTTGGCTGATGACGTTGGCGTGAGATATCTGGACCTGATGACCACCAAGATTAGCATCGCCTCGTCTGGGACAGTCGATTGGCTATAGGAGAAGCGTGTGACTTACAGCTTTGGGCTTTCCAGTGGTGCCAGAGCTCCAGGAAAGAAATGCACAAGGGGATTTCTCGGTGTATCTAGGTTCCCAGGATGTTGTATATGATGACGGGTAGAGTGATTCTCCTTGTTGCCGCAGATTCTGTAGGCTGTTCTTCTCATCCTGGGACCCATCTAGTCTCAGAATATTTCTTGGCGACAATCCGATTGATTTGCAAGCGGCTTTGACTTCATCAGCGGCGCCGGTGTCAGTAAACACAAGCGCGGTCTTTGACGTTTCAAGGAAATAGATCAGATCATCCTTCATTGAGCCAGGCGGTAACAAAGTGACTACAGCACCCAGTCGACTCGCGGCTAGCATTGCAACAGGATACCAGATAGAGTTCTGCCCAATGATGGCAATCTTTTGTCCAGGTCTGACATCATATTCTTGATACAGAATCGTAGAGACGGTGGTAGCAATGTGCTTCAAGTCATGATATGAGAGGAATTCTCCCGTGGCGCTGTCGTGAAATCCGCGAGTCTGAGATAGTGTTTGATCCGCTGAAGTTGATTGGCCTAATAGGAGCTCATCGCCCTCGAAGATCCATTGCCATATGGAGAGGTTCCCGATCACTGGCCATAATAGGTTAGCGTTCCTGTGAGTGGCTTTCTGAAGAGTGACCTACGGGGTTCTAATTGCGGCCCGGAAAAAGACATTATCAACAGATACTAGATAAACAGCTTCAGTCAACACTTCTCAGTACCTCCCATCAGTATCAAGTTTTATTGCATCTTCTGTGGGCAGTGTGTTGTGGATAATTGATGCATGACATAGCATGGCATGGCCATATGACTCGGGTGGAGTGCACTGACTAGCGACGTTGACTCAAGGCATGACTACGTGCATCGGTAATTGCCAGCTCGGACCGAAGTAGGATTGTCTGCCAAACTGCATTAAACGTCTTGATTGTTACCTCTTGAACCTCCCGCGAAATCAGTCAAAGGTATGACCGGTCTTATAACTCGGCTGAAGCATCGGTCTTCGGGTACCCAGGGGCCAGCCATAGCTTTTCTCATCCAACCCCACATTGCATCTCCAAAATGGCAGCTTCACCAATAACAGTAGCTGTTGTACATACCCCATACTGGAATGTTTCGGATGCTGCTTTGCTTAGAGACGGATCGCATAATGTCGTGGTGCCTGCACTTCTTTACCTGCGAGCATCCGACATTGAAACAACAAGTTCTTCACCTCGACCGTCGCACCGCCCCGACGAACGAAAGAGAAAACGACCTCACACAAGCCGTCGCGACTCATCTCTTCAGTTTGTTCACCAGTTTACATCAAACTCGAAACAAGATCATTCCGGATCATCTCCGTGCTCAGTCGACTCCAGCGATTCGACCGGCGACCGTGATAGAGGCCCTGCAAACATTCTTCATAAGCTGAATGTGACGGAATACGAACGCTTCCTACTCCAGGATCTCGAAGAAAAGATACGGCAAGACGCGTATCACAGTTCGGTTCAGTCAACGCCAAGTTTTGCACCCGCATCCAAGAGAATAAGACATGACATTGATGTGTCGAAGGCGAGGGAACAAAGGTCTCCAGAAGAGGAAAAGGATGAATATGAGCGGTGGGTAATGGGTTCATGGGACAATTTGTTCTCAAGAGCATCTGTCTATCCAGAGTGAGATGCCGGGGGAACAATTATAGAGTCTCCGTTATGCAATCGCGTTCAAGTTCATTGGTAGGTCTCCCTCTTCTCGTGACTGAAGCGTAGCTGACGCAATAAACAGCCGCTCAAAAAGGCCCAAAAACAAGCGCGGATCTCGAATACTCGTCCGAGACGCCCCTATCAAGTCGAGCACAACAATTATCCCACCGTAGCTCGGATGTTGCCCTACCGAGAGTGAAATAAAGGCTGGATCGACTTGGGCAAACTCGAATGCCTAGTATAGAAGGGGAAGATATGGCGCTTCGTCCATGACATTCCATATAGCCAGTTCGGCTATTTGCTTGATTTGATGAGGGGGCCGAGGAAGGTTTATTCCCAAGGTCATGAACCGTGGAATAAGAGACCAATAGTCATAGTAGTTGCATGACATGCATCAAGGGGTAGTCTGAGCTTCAACGAATGGTGTAGTGTCTTGGAATCAGTCACATGATGAGGAGAAGTTGACCAGGGGTGATTGTCAAGAGAGGCGGCTTTCTGCTAGGAGGCTCACGGTCTATGAGAACAAGTGCCGGACTTTAAATTAGAGCTAATCTATAAGCTACGCCCTTTTAACACATATTAGTACAACAGAGCCTCATCTTTGTAAAGTTTAACTTCTTTTCTATCTTAACTAAGATCAGACTCTGCTGGTAATTATATAGTAAAGTAGACTCTAGCAAAGAGGCCTGTGAGCTCTCTAAGTTGTAACGAATCGGTAAATTCATACACGAGTTCCGTGATAGTCGAAATTTAGCGATAATCATGTTTCCTCATCCTTTGAGTGCCTGTATATTCCATCACAGACCTGGAAACAAGCACATACGACCATACCTATCAGAGAACTCGGGATCCCGTCCGCTCTCCCATAGATAAGCTGATAAGGGGCGGATTAGTAGTTGGGTCGGTGACGACCAGCGAATCCCCGCTGTTGTATGTTTTTTGGCGGATGGTCTGCTTCCTTTTTGTTCCTGTTCGCGCTTGATCCAATGGTGTGGTCCTCGATTCTCTCGTGATGATGAACGGCGTTAGCGCAAGCTGCACGCATCGAACCCTCTCGGCAGCTTCTCGGTGCTACAATACTAGCAAGAGGAAGACAGACAGTGCAAATTTTCAAGGCCGATGCCGCAAGACGACGGATATCCCGTCGGGGATTAAGGGAACGATGTGACATGCCGGGTAAAGGTCGGGGACGGGCAGCGATCGAACTCAATCACTAACTCAATCGAGGTCACATTACCGGAGAGCGCATAATTCTGGGGTAAATGCAGCCAAGCTTAACCCGAAACCAGAAAGGCGGAGGTGGAGAAAACTGGGGAGATGGCCTGTCCCCTTGTCACTGAAAAGTCGGGGAAGCCAATGTCAGGCGACGACATAGACCCCACAGTCCCAGTGACTCGTTAAAAGGCCCGAATATCCTCGACGGTTTTCTGTAAAAGTAACGCTATTGCCGAGTTTCCTGCCCATTTAAAAGCATTGCGTAAAGGCTAGAGACAGAGATCCATTATTCAGAATCACCATGTTATTTGCTAAGTTCCCCGATGTGTTGGGACGAGTGACCAGAGGAGCCGATGTCTTTTGCCGATGAGCGGGGGGTTGATGGCCGGTTCGTCTTGTTTTTACATGCTGTGAGGTTGAAAATGGTGTATATAAAGAGCGCAGATCCTGAAGGCAACTGCAGTATGTCCAGGCATCGAGACAAGCAATAGAGTCGCAATGTTTCCTACTTCTATATCTTGCTTGGCGGCCCTGTCTCTGATGAGCCAGGGTCTACTAGCTCAAAAGCAACCAGAAAATGTCATCACCGATGATACTTACTTCTACGGTCAATCTCCGCCGGTGTATCCTACACGTGAGCACTCTCTCTACAATTACATGAGCTATACTAATCTCTTGAGAAGCGCAACAGGTAGACACCGGATCATGGGCCGCAGCCGTAGCCAAAGCCAAGAACCTGGTGTCCCAGTTGACTCTTGAAGAGAAAGTCAACTTAACTACAGGAGGTCAGACAACTACTGGCTGCTCTGGCTTCATACCTGGCATTCCTCGTGTAGGGTTTCCTGGACTATGTCTAGCAGACGCTGGCAACGGCGTCCGCAACACAGATTACGTGAGCTCGTTTCCGTCAGGGATCCATGTCGGCGCAAGCTGGAATCCGGAATTGACTTACAGCCGGAGTTACTACATGGGCGCTGAGGCCAAAGCCAAGGGAGTCAACATCCTTCTTGGTCCAGTATTTGGACCATTGGGCCGAGTAGTTGAAGGTGGGCGGAACTGGGAGGGCTTTTCCAATGATCCCTACCTGGCGGGCAAGTTGGGACATGAAGCTGTCGCTGGTATCCAGGATGCCGGAGTTGTTGCGTGCGGGAAACACTTCCTCGCCCAAGAGCAAGAGACTCATAGACTTGCTGCGTCCATCACTGGGGCTGATGCAATCTCATCGAATCTCGATGATAAGACACTTCATGAATTATATCTTTGGTAAGCCATGGTACCTGGGCTGTATCGTTGACATTTGCTAACACCTGACAGGCCTTTCGCTGATGCAGTCCACGCCGGACTCGCCAGTGTGATGTGCAGCTACAACAGAGCAAACAATTCACATGCATGCCAGAACTCCAAGCTTCTCAATGGCCTTCTCAAAGGTGAGCTGGGTTTCCAGGGCTTTGTCGTCTCGGACTGGGGGGCACAGCAATCTGGTATGGCTTCAGCGCTGGCCGGCCTGGATGTTGTGATGCCCAGCTCGATATTGTGGGGTGCCAACCTCACCCTTGGTGTGAACAACGGAACCATTCCCGAGTCACAAGTCGACAATATGGTTACACGGTACGATAAGCTGATTCTAGTCTCTCAACTTTCCTTTCACTGACAATAATCTAGACTCCTTGCTACTTGGTATCAGTTGAATCAGGACCAAGACACAGAAGAACCAGGTCACGGACTCGCTGCCAAGCTTTGGGAGCCTCACCCCGTAGTAGACGCTCGCAACGCAAGCTCCAAGCCTACTATTTGGGACGGTGCAGTCGAAGGCCATGTTCTAGTCAAGAACACTAACACTGCACTGCCTTTCAAGTCGAACATGAAGCTCGTTTCTTTGTTCGGATACTCTCACAAAGCTCCTGACAAGAACACGCCAGAGCCCGCCCAAGGCATGTTCTCCCCTTGGTCTATCGGTGCCCAATCTGCCAACATCACTGAGCTGAACATCGGCTTTCTTGGAAACTTGAGCCTTACATACTCCGCCATTGCGCCCAACGGAACCATCATTTCGGGTGGAGGGTCGGGTGCCAGCGCTTGGACTCTTTTCAGCTCACCTTTCGACGCATTCGTTTCTAGGGCTAAAAAAGAGGGCACTGCGCTTTTCTGGGACTTTGAGAGCTGGGATCCTAGTGTCAACCCTACTTCCGAAGCTTGCATCGTCGCCGGTAATGCTTGGGCTAGCGAAGGCTGGGATAGACCTTCTACTTATGATGCCTATACTGACGAGCTTATCAACAACGTCGCCGACAAGTGCGCCAACACTATTGTTGTTCTTCACAATGCTGGAACGCGCCTTGTGGATGGCTTCTTTAGCCACCCTAACGTCACCGCTATTATCTACGCTCATCTTCCGGGTCAGGACAGTGGAGATGCTCTTGTTTCGTTGCTATATGGCGATGAGAATCCATCGGGACGTCTCCCGTACACTGTTGCTCGCAACGAGACGGACTATGGTCACCTGCTGAAGCCAGACTTGACTCTCGCCCCCAACCAGTTCCAACACTTTCCCCAGTCCGACTTCTCTGAGGGTGTCTTCATTGACTACCGACACTTCGATGCCAAGAATATCACCCCTCGCTTCGAGTTTGGTTTTGGTTTGAGCTACACAACCTTTGAGTACACGAATCTTCAAGTCACAAAGTCCCAGGCCCAGACACAAGAATACCCAGCTGGTGCTGTTACCGAGGGAGGCCGTTCAGATCTGTGGGATGTTGTTGCTACTGTGACAGCAAGCGTTAGCAATACTGGCTCTGTCGACGGCAAGGAGGTTGCACAACTGTACGTTGGTGTTCCTGATGGTCCTGTGAGACAGCTGCGTGGCTTTACAAAGCCGTCTATCAAAGTTGGAGAGACGGCTACCGTGACCTTTGAGCTTACTCGCCGAGACTTGAGTGTCTGGGATGTTAATGCGCAGGAATGGCAACTCCAGCAGGGCAACTATGCTATTTATGTCGGTCGAAGTAGTCGAGATCTGCCTCTGCAAGGTACCCTGAGCATCGAGTTATGATCGGAGAATGATGGCCAAATATAATCAGTTGATTGATATCTCTGATACTTAGCGTAACTGATTTTATGATTAATAAATTTCATCTGCCTAACCTTATAAATAAGTACGTGCTATAATGCTTGTTCTAAAAGGAGAATGTTAATTATAACTCATTGCTGCTTTATAGGTAGGAACTTAGGGTTGGCTTTACGACTTATTTAAGTATTTTAAAAATATATTTATTACTAAAGTTTAAGCTTTTATAATTACTATATTGTAATTTATTGACTAAAATTATAGACAATAAAAGGACTAATAATCCTTAATAAAATATCAAGTAATTGTATGTTTTAGTATACTTTCTTATTTTTTCAGTTTTCTTTTCTTTCCCTTGCCATAAGCCTTATATGAAGCTAAAGTTTGTCCTTAACCCCCGTGCTTGCTCCATCGTATAAACTTTCGGCATTGATGGGGCTCCGAAGTCCGAGATCAATTCGTACTTAAGCCGAAACAAGTGCATGAAATGGTCTTGTACCGCCTGATCACCGTCTAATAATTAAAACTACCTGACAAACATTCAAAGATCTAGCTCCAAAGATGCCTACTGTTTTAGTTGTCGGTGCAACTGGTCAGCAGGGAGGTGGCGTTGTAAAAGCCCTACTCTCTTCTGGAAGGACGGACCTCGCTGTTCGAGCACTCACACGTAACACAACGTCAGTCCCCGCATACAGCCTTGCCAACAGAGGTGTGCAACTCGTCAAAGGCGATCTTCTTGACCTTGAAAGTCTCGCTCAAGCTCTTGTCGGAGTCGATGCTGCCTACCTCGTCACCGACTTTCGGGGTTACAAGGATACGGACGGAGAACTCGAACAAGGCAGGCAATTCATCGATGCCGCCAAGACTGCAGGTACCTATAATAAGTTGCCATCTTCCTTAAATCGCTACGCTTATTGACCTTTGACGGAAATTTCGTCTTCCAGGCTTAAAACATGTTGTCTTCTCCTCTGTGGCCGGAGCAGATATAGCGCAGGCTGTAGATCATTTCTACACTAAGTATAAGCTTGAAGAGTACTTGCGTGAGTCTGGTTTATCATGGACCATTGTACGACCTGTTGGGTTCATGGAAGTCATTCCTCCTCCAGGCATTGGCCGCAGTTTCTTTCTTGGAGCCATGGCAGCTCTATTGGGAAACACGAAACAGAAGTATATCGCATGCGAAGATATCGGCAAAACAGTTGCCATGGCCTTACTTAGCCCGACACGATTCAAGAAAAGAACTCTGACCATCGCAGGCCAGGTTGCTAATGTGACAGAACTTCGGGCTGCGTTGGAAGATGGCGAGGGCCAGAGAGGTTGGCCGCAAATCTGGCTCCCCCGGTGGTTAGTCATTCGACTGACTCCGCACCATTATAAACAGATGTTCGACGTGAGTGTCTCGATCGGTATCTCGTGGATGTTACTGACCAGTGCTATAGTGGTTGTATTACGACAACTGCCAGCCAGGTGAAGTCGAGGAGACCAGGACACTCCTCCCAGATCTTATAGATATCAAGTTATGGGCAGCGAGACAGAAGGCGGAGCGAGACGTACAATGAATGATCCACGTACCATGCATGTTATACGAGATTGGTAAATGGTTTAATTTCCAAGATAAATCTGGAAGTTAGTATTTCCTGCATGCAACGGCCAATAAACTTTTCTATGTCAAGATGATTTAGTGTATTGATGTCTAAGACTGATTGTTTAAATAGCGGTATCTAGATCGAAGAAAGCATAAGGATCAGTTCGAGTTGGGAGCTAGTTAACTTGACCTGGGTGATGCAAGTGCTCAGGACCAAACGATCACCTTTTGCTCATGACTCGGTCTTGATGTCCTAGGTTTGCATGTTTCCAGAATGACAACACCTACTGACCTCTCACCATCCGAATTGCTCAAATTGAAGAGATATCCCAGCACCATTTGGGGTCATTCGGGAAGTGGTCGACTGCCTCATGTCTTGCAACAAACTGGGAGGTCCACATCCCAAAACCAATACTCGTGAACTTGCAGGCATGCCCTCTATAGTTTGGGCGACAATGTCGTCAACTTGAGGACGTCCGAAGTGGATCGGAGTCGCATACATAAAGCCTCGTTGAGCATCGGACTGACTGGGTGTATCATCCGTCAATGTCGTTCCCAATTGCCCTTCTGAGACAAGTGTCCCTTCTGGAGAGTCTCTTGTCGCCGGCGCTGCCTGGTCACTGAAAACAATCTTACTAAGCTCTATTTGGTCAGTAATGTGGATCAAGACTTTGAATCCCTGGGCGCGGGCGAGGTGTTCGATGTGAAATGAAAACCATTCCAAAAGATCTGCAACCAGCAACTGATTAGTCGGTTGAATCGTGTGACGGCAACGGGAGGCGTACCTGGATTTCTCATAACCCAAACCACTGTGATATCTCTTTTGATAATGTTGCCAAGATCTTTCAGAAGTTGAAGTGCAATACCAATTCCGAAAGTTGCGCCACTACCACCAGCAAAGATCAATATTTTGTCGTAAAGAGCGGGTTCCGGTATTTGTCCGTAAGGCCCTTCGACAGATGCTTTCAGTGTCACCCCCGAATTTTTGACGGCGTAATCATGCAGGTCGCGAGTGAAACCGTCACGAGCCTCAATCAGAAACTCAAGTGGTTGCGTGTTCACAATGGTAAAGGGATGAGACTCAAACAACCGGACCCCAGGGATCCAGAGAAATGCGTGCTGCCCAGACCTTGCGCCCGATAGATTCTTTCGCATAATGACCCTCGTGCCGCCACTGGCCAGTGGCTGTAGTGTTGCGGAGTTGTTAACACCGTGGTACACTAACCTAGATGCTCGTGCTAGGCGATCGAAAAACCATATTCCAGCGGCTACACTGATGGGGATGATAACCCTCTCAGCCGCAGTTGGATGATGAAGGCATATGAACACCAAGGATGCAATAAAAAAGAGAACATGCAGAACATAAAAGAGCTCGTAACGTCGACGCTGCAAGGTCAAGGCAACAGCCACCACTGTGAAAAGAGTGAAGCCGGCGACAATGCCGAAGATCTCGTCTAGTACCCGTAGACGCGCAGCATTTTGCTGTTCCAGGAAGAAGGATGAATATGAAGCCGCATGAACAAGGACGAGAATGAAGGTCATTAACCCCGACACTCTGTGAAATGGGTTCAGCCGCTCGTAGGTCCATCCTACAAGAAAACCAAGCGGCGTGATCTTAAGACTGAGGAACACTGTCAAGCAAAGATTCGCGATGGCCAGCCTAAAGATAGTTAATGACGGCCAAGAGGAAGAAAGAGCTTATATACCATCCAGTTCGAGCTGCGACGATGACATGTAGTGGCAGTATACTATCGTCGGTGTATACGAAAACGAGACCGACGTTAAGTCCAAGATAGGTGATGTAAAGGAGAGCGTGACCCAGCGATGGTGCACCAGGGACTTTTCGCAATAAGAGACGTTTTATACTATATAGGTTAGAATAAACTAGTAGTAGCTTTGATTCATTCTGACCTTTCTGAGTAGTTGAAAGGGGGTGGAACAGTAGCCGAAACCTGGGCAAGGCTTGACTTTCGCCACAAGTACACGAAGATATGAACAATAGTGAAGAGACCGATTAAAGCAGCAAGAACAGCTGCATATAATATCATAGCGTCATGGTCATTTTTCGCTCGGGCTGCGAATATTGCCATCAATTGTGCCTGAGTAGGTGGAGGAGGACTGCTCTGGGTCGGAGCAGCAGCAGACCCGCTGGCAGGGGCATCTGGGGCAATGCTGGACATGATAAAGAGGAAAAGAACAAAGAACGCTCCTGAGTTAGAAGAACAGGCAGCTATTTCCTTTTTCAAGGCAAGAGTGACGAATGATTTTGCTGAAGTAGTTGGGAGTCTCTAAGAGTCTAGTTCTCACATTCTTTACTAAATTGGCTTAAACATATATGTATTTGTAGTTTGTATGCCCTGTTTTCCATGATGAATTCCGCAGCCAGTCGAATAAGACATTTCGGAATCACAGATTGGATTGTCTTGTTCCGAGTAAAACTGCCGGCTCAAGATAACAATAAAGTTATAAGCCACACTTTCCATGAAGTATAACATGATTAAGGTTTTGGCTAGAGTCTACCGCGCGGGATTGGCACAAAATAGTAATTACTATTAGCGATTACTATTTTGTGCCCAGCCCTGAACTGTCTACGCAACATGATTAAGGTTTTGGCTAGAGTCTGGGCAATGCATTGGGTAATTAGCGGTGTTGATAAGAACACGCAATCTTGATGTATTAGTAAGTCAACGCCGCAGCGGCGCAGCTCCAAGGAGCATTTGTCAGCTCCGAAATGAAGCATGCGCCTTATCTAAGTCAAAGCGTTCGGAAAAGAAGTTAATTCGCTGTTTCGTCGTGACAAGGGTTAATAGAGATCTACCGAATACGACGGCATAAGTCAACTAAGAGTCTTTCAGCCATCCCATGCTATCCGTCACCCTGAGGGTATTATGGGGGTCCGATTGGTGAAAATATTGTCTTCTTTCTCACTGACTGATCGTCAAATTTGAAATGAGCTGGGTGACGGCAAGCAGGGGATGACTGAAAGACTCTTAGCTGATTTGAATTTGATTCTGCATTAGAGTTGACGGCAAGTTTTGAATGTTGTCTACAGGCACATTGACTGGCTAACCGGGAGATCTGCTCACATATAGTGATATACTGATGGAGATCAAAGGCAATTAGGTGGTACGCAGATTGACATTGTTGGCAAAAGGCCTGGAATGACTAGACGAATCATGAGAACATAGAGGAATAAGGAAATGCTACGAAAAGTAAATACAAAATTGGCAACACACAGAATTCTCAAGCAATGAAGGCGCATCCTGACACTTTAGAACATATGCGCGACCCACCAGGGTTCGCCTCTTCCTCGTGACCGAAACCCTCTGGAGTTCCAATCGGCCAACAGCAAAGCTCATGACAATCCCCAAACCTTTGCTGATCGACGGCGACAGCTTTTGCCCTTCCAGATCAGGAGAGCCCCAGACCAAAATCCTACAAGACAGAGGGCACCCATGATAATGAATGTGTCCCTCAAGCCATTGTGATTGATCCAGGGCTCCGTCGCGAAGATCATACCACACGCAATGATATTCCGAACTGTTATCATGGCTGTCGTAGCCTGTCCAGCCTTGTGCGAGTAACATTCGGTCACATAGCCAAGAGAGACTTCACCAGCAATGGGGATGCCTGCTCCAATAAGACCCATTCCCGCTACTGGCACCATCCAATGCAGCTTAGCAGAGGCCCCGACTCCATAGAGAACAAGTCCAGCGCTCATGATAGGGCCCCCAACAAGGGCGGCATAGATTCTTGACTCGGGTTCCATGATACCGCCGTTGTGGCGAGCCTGCCATATCATGAATCGATCTGTTCCAGCTCCACCCACGTAAAACAGGAGTAAACTACCCACAAGCGGTGAAAGGCTCGTTAGGCCGACCTCAGTGTAGCTGAAGTTGTAACCATATTCTGGGCTTTGAAAGACTGTATTGGATGTAAAGGCCATGATTGAGAGCCAGGCAATGCCGAAACCATAGAGGCAGCTTGACCACAGAATGACTGGCTCAACAAGAAGTTTTAGGGGTTCAAAGAACAAGGATGCGAAGCTTTGAGACAATTTCAAGTTGGATATCAATCGCAATCGATCGGCGTAGCTCTTGAGCTGTGTCGGTGATTCGGACGTCGAGGTTATGGTGTCCACTCGATCGTATCCAGTTTCTTCTAGGAAGAAGAAGGCGAGGATGGTGACGAGTGCCATAATGATGGCAAAGGTCCAGTAAACCCACCTCCATCCAACGCCGTCAACGATGAAGCCCGTGGCAAGCGGGCCGAGAAATGATCTGTGTGTCAAGAAGATCAGTAAAACGGCTGAACAAGCGTTCATGTTGCTTACTTACCCCAGAGTAGCTGCAAGAACATACATCGAGAGTGTAAAGCCTCGTTGATGAACAAAGAACTGATCATTGACGGTAACCGCGGGAAGCTGCTCAAAGGGGGCTGCAACAAAGCCCATCAAGATTCGAGAGCCGACAAAGACGTCGCTTCTACTCGCAGTTGCCGCCACTACTTGGGCAATGCCAGTCAAGAAACAAGACGAGATATAAACTGGACGGCGACCATAGCGAAGTGCCTGGGATGAGATTGTTAGACGCTTTCCAGTCCGAGTAGTGCAGAGACCGTAAAGCTTGGCAGGAAAGGCTCACCAGAGGGTTCCAGATGATATTCCCCATCCCAACAAGGAGAATAGAGATGGCGGTTCCGACATTAAGATACTCTGCCGTGGTGTGAAACTCGGCAATCAGAGCTCCGTAGGTCACAGCAGTGGACAATGCCACGACGGCGACCATGAATGAGTATAAATTAACTACAAAGAAGGAGATGGACTTGCGGAGGATGCTCCAGTTGAGGGGATCTTCGGGGTCGCTGGAGGGCTCAGGGGAGAGGATGACGCTGGAAGAACCAAGTGAGTTCCGGCCTTGGTCAAGCAACAGCCTAGTTCCAGGCACCATGTCAATGGATCTTGACATGTTTCCTACCTCTACGTCAGCAACCGTCTCTTTGTCCGGTGCGCTCTCCATCTTCTTGGTATGCAAAGCCTGGCCTGTGGTCATGTTGAGGTTACGTAGAAGTGCTTAGTTGAAATAACTGTAGATTGTGATAGCTGGTCTTGGGCTTCAAAAACGAAATGGAAACCGTGGGCATGTGCGCTTAACTAATGGTTGTGATGCATCCAGACCGTGTTCTATCAGCTGGATTTATAATACACATTCTCGATCCTGGCTATGTATCCAATATTCCGAAGGCGTGTCTCTCGTCTATCTCTTCATGAACAAGTGCCAGGTATCATCTCTAACATAATTCTGAAGGCCATCTGGGGTTCAAAGGTGCTCCGAAAAAGGTCTATCCCGATTGGTCTCGGCAGATGAAAAATTTCGGATTGATCATCTATTGGTCTAGAAAGTTTAAAGTTTCTACTGTAAAAGGTGGCGTAGCCATTGTGCTTGCGCGGCTGATTGGTCATTTCGGAAACGACACGGAATGAGATGAGATCGGAACTCACGATACCGAGTTGCACAATGTAAATAAATATGCCTGGAATCTAGCTGGATAGTAACTCTCACAATCATCACATTTGAGATAACAAGTCACTTTGATACACCATAATTACGACTTTGTCAAAATCGTCTATACGTATTTATTTTAGTCGCAATGCCTACTTCCGACGAATGGCAGGATATTGTTACACGCAAGCGGCAGCATCAAGCTTCACTAATCCCAAAGCAGTGGAGTATCGAGGCTCCAGATGCACAAGGAGACTATTTTCCTCTGAAAGAACTGCTTAACAGCAGTATATTGACACCAACGGAACTTGATCTGACTGATTATACCAAGCATGACGCTGTTGGGATTCTCAGCCTCCTTGCTACCGGTAGTGTCACGGCCAAGAGCCTGATCACATCTTTCTGCAAGAGGGCTGCAGTTGCGCACAGCTTGACCAATTTCATCACTGAGGTGAACTTTGACCAGGCCATTCATCGCGCTGCAGAGCTTGACGAGCATCTCAAACGCACCGGCACCCCGATTGGCCCTCTGCATGGTCTTCCCATCACTGTTAAAGACCACATGGACGTTGAGGGACACGACTCGTCTGCAGGAATTGCGGCTTGGTGCTTCAGCCCCGCAGAGTCCAATTCGCACCTTGTTCAAATCATGGTTGACGCTGGTGCTGTCATTATAGCCAAGACCAATGTACCCCAGACATGCTTGGCCGCTGATACCATCAACGTTGTGTTCGGAAGAACCCTTAATGCGCATAACAGTGGGTTCGGAGCCGGGGGATCGTCTGGTGGAGAGGGAACTGCCCTTGCTATGGGTGCATCGATGCTTGGGCTGGGGTCAGACGGTGCCGGATCTGCTAGAATGCCAGCAATGGCGAACGGAGTCGTTGGCTATCGGCCAAGCGGCTATCGTCTCCCTGCTGATGGTAGATCCATTCTAGACCCAGGCATGATCGGTATCACGCAACTGGGCCCCGTTGCAACATTTGGCTTCATGGGTCATTCAGTTCGAGACATCCGACTTGGATCCAAAGTGGTCAGCGACGCAAAACCGTGGCACAAGAACCCCTTTCTGTATCCGTCACCTTGGTTGAATATTGCGGCGCCCACTAGGCCTCGCATTGGGGTTTGGGCTCTGGAGACGAGAAACAACCATCTTCATCTATTCCCTCCCGTCAGGAGGGGCTACTTGGCAGCACAAGAGTGTCTGCGCCAGGCGGGCTACGAACTCATTGAGTTTCAGCCGCCAAACATGGCCGAGGTCTGGGATCTTTGTAAAGCCTTCATCCACGTTCAGGGACTTTCCACTTTGAAGGGGCAAATAGCAAAAGAACCGATCACCAAGATTGTTGAAGATACAGGCATCTTGTCGTCCAGATGGTCCACGGAACTCAAACTCGATGACATCCACAAGCTCAACCAAAAACTTGCATGGCTAAACATCCAGATGAAAAATGCTTGGAACGCGAGTGGCCATGCTCTTGATGCCCTGCTCTGGGTCACCAGCCCCAACACAGCTTTGCCAGTTGATGAGTGGAGAGATACAACCTTTACGACTATATTCAATGCCGTCGATTGGCCGGCCATCTCTCTGCCTTTGGGGATGAGCTGTGATAAGGATATTGATGTTCCGTATACGAACTTCGAGCCATTCGGGGCAGAAGACGCCCGACTTAATTCTCTCTTTGATCCCAAAAGGTTCCACGGGCTCCCATTATCTGTGCAGCTGGCAGGACAGAAGTTCGAGGATGAAAAGCTCTTGGCTATTGCAGAACTTATTCATCCGATCATAAGGGGTGATATTTAATATGGGTTCGTAGCTTGATCTGTTATGCTAAATATGACCTTTGGCTATTATATCTGAGGCACACGGCAAGCGAACGCAACAAAAGTCACTCATATGTACATCAACACTATCTGATCAATTAATCCTCAGTCTACTAGCATGTCTAAATCTCATATTCAGTGCCGATTTATGTCCTCATGACGTATGGCTTGTCAGCCGTGCACAGTGGCATCAGCGATTAGGGGTATCGAGGGACACCTCATAGACATTATCGTAGCGTCGTAGACTTAATCTATGGTCTGAATGATAAGTCTTGATTGTAATGTGGGTTGAGACTTTATAGAGAGAATATTACTATATAGGCGAGACTACCTTGGTATGGATAAGGCTATTCCAATTCTTTCTTTTTATCAGTAGCCAAAAGGTAAGGCGAGGATATTGGCTTGGCTAAGACTTATGTTAAGCTTAGGAAAGGCTTAGATTCCAGCTGCTACTACTTGGGATAGTGCATGAGAAATGAAATGCTGCTAGTCGATAACTGCATTATCTATTACGCAGCATTGCAAAACGATTCATCATTATAGTCCATTTTGTAAACTTGTTTATGACATTTGATACTTTTGATCGCTAAAGGTCTTACCTACATGTCGGTTTTGAGAGAAAGCACATTCTACAAGGGAGGAATTATAAAATTCAGTGTAAGAGCAAAGTCAATTTACTTTTTAGTACTAGCACCCCGCAGACTACAGTGAATAGTCTCCAGCACTCTATCGCTTGCTTCACTGATCTTCCTTCTCTTCCTCCTCCTATCTTCGTCGTCTTCTTCGCCTTCCTCGTCTTCATCATCTTCCTCTTCCCGCTCCTCTAGAAGCCTTTTAAGTTGAGCCTCGGCCTTCTTAGCTCGAGCCAAGTATTGCTTAGCCTCCTCCTCAGCAGCCTTCTTTCCCTTTTTGACCTCCGCCAATTCCCTCTTCAAGCAGCTAGCAATCAACTCAAGAGAACGAACGTGAGCCCTATCGCCATTACCCCCAAGGAAAACTGGTGGAATAGTTGTTGCGTCCTTGGTCATGAAATCCTCAATCTCCTTGCCCATGGTAACTGTAAGCTCCTTGGCCTTGAGACGGAAGTTGCTAAGGGTGTAAGAAAGCGATTTGGGTTTCGAATCCCACTGCTCGGGATACTCTTCCTCACCCTTAGCACAAAACTTAAGACTATAGTCTGGAGCGAGAGTCGTGGCCAGGTCGATGTCAGATAGGAGGATCTTGTCTCCGTACTTCAGGGGGCCTTCCGAGCCGATGTGCTTGTCATAATATCGGCGGATCTGACGCGCTCGGAGGCAAGTGTTTTCCTCGGTTGTTGCCCAGGCCATGATGGATGTTTGATAGTAGGATTAGTATTTGCTGTGTTACAGATGTGGTATGGGTTCAAAGGTTGTTGTTTTGTTGATGAAAAGAAATCCCAAATGATGATAAGGAAGTTAGGTATATATATTCACAAGTTAATCCCAGTGAACTTCAAGCCTTAGAACTAGCACTCTACATGTTCGTGAGAATAACATATGGTTCGGTGACATTCTGCGACCAGTGTCTTCCGCTAGATTCTTTGTCATATTTCCGATGTTCATCGAGAACATATTATGCATTCTCCTCCATTAAATATCACACTATGAACATATATGAACACAAAGCTCGGGCTCAAGCTTCTGATTTGTTCATGCAGCAGGACAAAGAAAAGCTGGCACAGAACTAAGAGAACAATTATCTTCCTAGAATTTATGGAATACCATTACTGTTTTAGTCATCCTAAATACCCTAGTGAAACTCGGTGGGTACTGCCGTGTTCACTATTGAACAAAAAAGAAGTGATGAACATAGGCAAGGAGAAGTTAGCTCTTTTGAAATGACAGGCGTCACGGTTCCGCAACCTATATTTTCTCATAGCTTAAAATTAGAAATAGTAAAAAGGTGTATGTAGTGCCGATGTGCATTCTCATTTATCGAGTCTGCAATAGCAAGACGCCTTAACAAGAACGTCGGTACCTGCCAGTGCCTTTTGCAGATGGCCCTCAATCTCCTTCGCCTCCGGTTCTCTTCCTAACCTCGTCAAACTTTCGTGAAGACCGTGCAGTGCCCACACATTATTAGGGTGCCTCAAAGCTCGAGGGAGTTTATCGTTGAGTCCTAAGTCTGTCTTGTACACCTCAACTGCCTCCTCGAGATACCCCTGCTCCATCAGCAACGCACCGTATGCATGGCGGGTAGGCTGCATCCATCCCCACGGTTCGTCGTAAGGAAGATTATCCTCGCGACGAATAGCCTCACGGAGGTGCTCAAAGGCGACATCATAATTCTTTCTCCTGTATTCTAGTTCACCATCGAGCATAGCTTCACCAACTCGGAGGATATCCAGACAAGTGTTGTTGAAAAGAGTGCGAGAGGTCGGAACTCTCTTTAAAGACTCGTGGAAGAGTCCTTTGTGATGCTCCGATTCTGGCACTCTGCCCGTAGCAGCAAAAGCTACACTCTTCGCATATAAGAGGATCGACGTGGTCATACAGTATAAGTCCTGGTCTTCTGGTAGCTCCATATCAATCAGATCCTGCCATTTTCCGAACCTGACCAGGATATGAGCACGGAGACTCAGAAACGCTTCAAGCCAGTCAGCCATAGGCGGAGACTCGATTTGAAGAAGGTCCTTTGGGATCGTAGACTCTAGCTGACTGGCAGTATCAATACAGACTTTGTACTGGCCCGCGAGCATAGCGGCATATACTCGAAAATGAAGATCGTGGCACCGATACAGAGAATAAAAGTTAAGAGGTCCGGCTTTGGATAAATACTTATCATCAGCTTTGATCGCGTCCGAGTTGGAATCAATGGCTGCTTGGTAGTGTCCACAGAGCACGTCCAAGTGAGTTGGCATGTGATGTAGATGTCCTCCGTCAGGTACGAGCCCACGAAGGTGGTTGGCCGTTGGCAGAGCATCTTCTGGTCTCGGAGACATTTCCATCAAGTGGATATACAAGTGGAGTAAGCCGGGATGCTCCAAAGAACCGTTGAGCCTCAAGCCATCATCGATTATCGTTTTGATCTTCAGCGTGTGAGCTCCAGGCGTAGGTTCTCCCGTCTTAAGATCCCAGAGGTTCCATGGATTCAAGTTCATCAAAGCGTCTACATACAAGGTAATGACATCCAAGTCGTCCGGAAAGTCCCTGTGCACCCCTTCCATTGCATCAGCAAAGCCCTGATTCCAGGAGGAACAATTCGAAGGTCTCTCTTGCGGGTAACGGTGTTGAAGTGCTGTGATAAGGGCTTGCTCAACTGGAGTGCAGGCCGACATCTTAGCCATGGCTGTACGGGCGGCATTGTGGCCACGCCCAACTGCGTCAGCCAGGTCTTTGTCATCAAAGAACGACCATGGCTTGTTGTAGTTTGGCCCCAGGCTATATGCCAAGCCCCAGTAGGCCATTGCGCAGTCAGGGTCAGAAATGGCAGCCTGCTCGAAGCAAAAGACGGATTCCTCATGATTAAATGCGTACGCCCATATGAGTCCACGGTTGAACCAAGCTTGGCTTTCTGGAGAGGTGGTCGAGATGGTTCGCTTGTACAAGCCAAGATCGAAAGGGTAAGCGGAAGACATTGCGAATAGTAGTGACGTTTCAGGTACACAGTGCCAGAACTATGACGTCGAGTAACATCAAAAGTAATACTGCTTTTCGAAGCATGAGTTATTTTTCATTTGTTAAGTACGTATCCCCCTCATTGAGTCATGGGACCAATCACGCGCTCCGGCTCCAGCCATTTAAGTTTCGAGAAATGAGGTGAGTATAGGGTAGTCTTCAATAACTCATCATCAATCTCTTGTATTCTATTTTTCCTACTTTACAGCATGGAAGCAAAGTCCGGATACTCCTTAGGCGTGACGTGATCATGGCCATCCCGGTCCGTGGCATAGCTAACATATTTCCACTCATTCAGCAGCCTGAGTTGTTCCTCACACTTCTGCTCTCCGCAATCGAAGGCATCTGATCCAATAGCACTACTTACCGCCCATGGCTTCCCAGTCGCAATCCCTTCGCCCTTCATAATATCCACCATAACCTTCGCGACCTTGTCCAGTTCGCCTGTCCACTGAGAAAATGCCTTGGCAAACATGAGCCCAAGTTCTTCCATGAGCGTGTTATAGTCTGCAAGGGCAGGACCTTGGATTGCGAATTCTGGTGCATCTTCCTCTCTTGGGTGGCCGAGATTGGTAGGGAAGCTACCGCACATGAACCCGACGCAAGAAATGCCGAAAGGTCGGACCTCCTTATGAAGGCTCTCGATGTAAGTGCTAAGAGCAGCCTTGGATGCTGCGTAGTGGGACATAAAGGGCAGAGGACCCCATGAGCTGGCGGAGGAAGTGAAGCCAATGCGACCACGGCCCTGGGCACGGAAATGAGGGAGTATAGCGCGGGTAACGTTCATGTGTCCAAAGAGATTAACTTGGAAGAGGTTTTGGACATATGCATCTCTATCATTCCTTGTTAACTTGCTTCTTAGATGAAGGGTTCATGGGCTCTTGAATGATCCTGAGACTACCGCTTATCTGTGGAAGAATGAACTGCCGCCGAGAGAGCTTCAGATCATGCCTGCTCGATGCGGTATTATCCCCCCTAACCCGGAAGATGATAACATCTGTGAATCTCTTATCTTTGGTACGACGGATGACGATCTGAGCAAGATCACCGCGATTGGCGTGGATTCCCTGCTTCGAGGCTTCGAAGTCTGCTTCAGCAATGGACAATCTCGCACCATTGGGCACACCAACGCGATGCAATACTTCCCCATTGACGGTCAGGGTGGCGAAAGGATTCTCTACGTTAACTCAAAGATATCTTTCTATCCGACTGGGATACAGTTCGTCACCACCAAAGGTCGCCACTTCATCGTCGGGCAGCCTGATCCACGAGCTGAGGTTAGGTTCCCCGAGGCAGGACGGCTTAGTGATCGTGATGCTCTGATGGGCATCTACTGCCACTGGCGGTACCGGCACACGCCCCGCGCAGGGCTTGAAATGATCGGGGCGTCTGTTTCCAAGTCTGGTCTTGGTCGTTCTGTACGACCTCAGCTGGCGATAGATGCGCAGGAGCACTTTTGGTCACCTGAACTCCCGCCGAAAGGATTAAGGGAAGTCGGTAGGGTCTATGGAGAACGTGATTTCTTCAAGACAAACAGGAGAGTCACGCATCACATGCCGAGCAGAAATGCTGTTGTTTCATGGTTCGACTGCAGCAGGCCTATCGCATCCATCAAAGTTGGCATTTGCCACGGGACAGAGAGGTTTCAAATTCCGTTGGTATCAATGACCTTTACGTATGCCGACGATCAGACCACGACATCCATCGGTCCAACAAAGTTCTCTTCTCCGAAGGACAACCGGGGCAGGGCCAGCAACTACTGGTGTTGGTGCGCGGAGGGAAGTCATCGAGATGAGGAACTGGAGCAGCAGCCGCACTATACCGAAGATGAATGGGATGCGCAAGGGTCGTATCTTGAGTTTGCTCAGGTATGGGTCGGTGACTATGAAGTTTTGACGGGACTACAGTTTATTGCGCGAGATGGGAGAGAAAGTCCGGCTTGGGGATATTGTGTCAGTGAGAAGCCCCCAACTATTGCTCACGTCCGACGCCTCACAGAGCCTGTTAGATTGCCGCTCCAGGCGCAGGAGGAGAATCGTGGGGCGGGGCTCAAGGTATTTGTTGATGCGATGGATCGGGAGGCTCCGCGTGAAGATTATGTGGTGGTCGGCATTCAGCTGATTGAGTTTAGCAAAGATTAGTCGGATATAAAATGACAGCTATAGTCACTTTGGGAAATCATCATCTGCCAACAAGACCTGTAAATAGGTAGGAATAGGATGTTGTATTCAGCTCTTTCGTTGCCCAAGTCTCTCGATCTTTTGGTCCACCCAGATAGGATACTTGTTAAGACTCTCATACCACTGAATCACACTACCTATCTGCAATTCCATGTCAGCCAATGTTGTCCACAAAGCACAGCCGAACTCACCAAGAATGCCCATGAACCTATAAATGTCGAAAGTGTCAGTGCATACTCAACGCCTGGATGCGTGATGCCAAAGCCCAGTGCACCGCAGAGAGTAAAGCCAATAGCGCCAATCAAGTTCCACAGTCCGATATGCCATCCCAGCACCCCCGGAGCTGGAATGTACCATCGAGGCTGAACTTCGACCATGAAGAGGATGCTTGAAACGATGAAGCCTGTACCGCCAATCACTTGAGGGAGCCAGTAGACGCCGTTCTCAGCTGGTGTAGAGAGGTTGTTGAGGATAGGCGGCAAGGCTGTGAAGCCTGATATCCAGAATACCGTGGCGCCGAATGTTTGTGAGGAACAGGCCAAGAAGCCGATGTCAAAGAAATAATGTGTTCTGAGTTCATACCACGTCGGCCACCAAGACCACATCCGATCATTACCCGGCGACTCCGCTGTGTCATTGCCCAGGGATTTAGAGCTTTGCTTCACAAAAGTCCCCTTTTGAGCGTGTGCATGCTTGCAGTTGTGCGCGTGAGTGAGATGGAGCATTCCATCTACACTCTCTTCAACAGCCCAGCCAAAACAGTCCGATCGATTCTCATTAACGGCTTCAAGCATGAGTAGGATCGAGCCAAACTCAAAGACCGTAGCACCGATGAAAGCTGTCAATCCGCCGGCCCAGTCAGAGACTTTCGTTGAGGGATTGAGAACGGGAAGCCATGAATAAAAGCCGTTGATCACCCAGATAATCGACCCTTTCAATAATTAGCTATTACTTCGTGTGATGAGCTGGTGAGTACCTATTGTGAAGACGAAGGCGACATCGTACGATACATCCCAGACTGGGTATCTGACAAACATCTTCAAGATACCGCGTAAAGTCTGGTGATACGTATTTGATGGCCTCGGTCCTTTCGTCGCTTCATGCTTGTGAGGATCAACACTAATGGCTAGCGCATGCCGTCCCTTTCTGTTATCACGACTCCTCCAGACATAAGCAACCCCAGGGCTCTTGTCGCCCGGTCGCGATTCTTTTCCAGCATTTCCGGCGTCAGACTCAGCATTGAGTGTCTTCTTGTCGGCAACCAGATATCGCTTCGTTGGATTGAGCGCCTTGACAGGGCCAGTTGTGCGCTCAGCGTTGTAATGCCGACCGTGGAAATGGTCGTGAGCTCTAGGCATTGTTACGGTGCAGATGGGCTGTTGATCCGGAATAAACAAGAAAAGGGCGCTGTGTCGTTTTTTAAAGTTGGCAATTGATTGGATGACGTGGATGTGTATCAAATTGGATTAGCGCTGAGGTAGTCTCAAATGGTCCAGGGTGACACTATACGAACACTGATGATGCGCACTGATTGCTAAGGGCTAGCGAGGCATTGAAGATGCTATGTCAGCATTTAAAAGCTTGGTAAACGTAATTTATATCCGAACGACATAATATAGCAATTAAGTTGTCGACGCTGAGATGCCCAGTGTCATCATTTTCTCAACCTTGATGAAATAACAACCTTCTTGCATTACTAGAAGCGAAAGCCTCAATTCCATTCTCATCAAGAACCCCTTCCCTTCGAATCATCTCTAAATACTCCTTGCCAAGCTTGTTATCGCTAAAAGGATAATCCACACTAAACATGACTTGACTGAGAGGCATGTTGCCCAACAGACACCGCAACGAATGCATATCAAACATTCCTGAAGTTGTGATCCATATATTATTATGCATCACCTCCGCAAATCCGCGTTCCATCCCGAAGAATGTAGTGGCCTTGTTGATGCGGTCAAACATATATGGTATGAGCTCTCCAGAATGACCAATGATGATTTTGAGTTTGGGGTGGCGGTCGAACGTGTTACTGGCCATTAGACGCAGAATGGTGTTCGCAGTACTGGCATGCCATCCAAAAGCAAAGGCGCCGAGTGCAGTCGCAGAACTACTGTCTGACTGCAGATTACCGCCTGAGTACAAAGCCTCCTTTTCTTTTTCACTCGGCCACGCAGGATGTATATATATCGGCACATCGAGCTCCACAGCTTTTGCCCAAAGAATATCATACTCAGGACCATCGTAGAAGTTGCCGTTGGAATGGTTATCAATGAGCGCACCAACGAACCCATGCTCTTTGATACATCTTTCAAGCTCATGAGTTGCTGCCATAGGATCACCCATCGGGAGGCACGCAAAGCCAGCGAAGCGAGACTTATTCGCTCGGACAGCTGCGGCAAGCTCATCGTTACAGGCTATTATAGTCTCAGGTGTGAGATAGTTTGTTGGAGTGTGAGACAGGACTTGGATCGAGACATCGTTCTCATCCATGTTCTTGATTCGTTCATCATTGAGGTCAACGAGCATGTTGATGATACTGGTAGGAAATCCATGGATCGGGTCGTCTGTCGTTGCTTTTGAAGAGTGAGCTGCCCGAGAAAGGAAGTGCTCCTCAAGTGTGATACTCATTGCAATTATGCAATGTTTACTAACGTTCGAAGGACATAAGAATTGAAGCTCAAATGGAACAAAGGATGCAAGCTCAAGACTGCCGAAGCTGGTAGAGAACAGAGATACGTGGTGTCGTATGTCTAATGTATTTGTACGTTCCTCGGAGATCTCGGATCAAACGTCATCGCCATATGACATGGGGACAAGTTGCTGAAGTTCATCTCGGTGCCGACTCGGCAAACCAAGACTCCAGGTATACTATGAATATTACTCCTGTATAAGGCTGACTTCTATCTATCTGATGCATCTTCTTTATATTTAGGTTCACAACACAATTGAGAACCCTAGGCTGCTGTCAATCTTGTTTCGGAGATCCAATTCGGCTTGTGACTATTCTGACACTCTTCTATACTCTCAGCATCAAGTGCTCATGTACAAACGAAATAGGGAGAACCCAGGATCTACGTCCCGCTTTGCTTCTGATACCAGAACTCAATCAATCTCTAACCATCACCATACCACCTTTCCAATCATGCAACCCCTCAACCTCAACCTTGGTGGCTTCAACAAACCCATATCTCGCATAAAGCTTCTCCAGACCAGCTAAACTAACAAGCCATGCCGCCGAGTCCGCATCATCTACCTTCTCAAGTCCATCTTCCAGCAGCATCTTGCCAAGTCCTTCTCCTTGCAGAACAGGGTCGACGCCCAACAAGGAAAGGTAGTGCGCCTTTTGCCTTGTCGGGGTGTCCAGAACATGCGGCTCAACAGCAGAAAATGCTTGCTCAAAGGTTTCCATGTTTTTCTTGTTCAGACCTTGGACTGGGAAGATATATTCTTGAAGGTTGATGAAAGCGTTGACGACTGAACCGACCCAGAACGCTGATAAAATTAGAAATATCCGAAAGAGACCCAGTACGCAAACTTACAAGGAGAGATGAGCTTCTGAAGGAGGGTCAAAGGCTGAGTTGGTCGCTTCCACCACGATAGGCCGACAGGATGATCATGCTTATCAACCACGACACTCAGTGAATACCCAGGCGTCCAATAGCGACGCTGAAATCGTCGGCAAGACCACGTAAAGAAAGACAAAGGATCCTGTCTCCTCGTGGGGAAGAAGAAGTCGATTAGTGGTTCGTTGCTGAACGATGCAGCATAGATCCGTGTCGTGGCTGGGACATCAAAGAAGGTTCCGGGCCGAATGCGGTATTTCGGCGCGGGATCTGAAGATTCGGACATGATGACACGATGCTGCTAGTTCTTTGAAGTTATGAAGTTTCTGTTATAGAGCACCAAGGTTCAGACAAAGGACAACGGATAGCCACCTCGATCTTGGGCAGCATGGAGTTGATACCTAGCTGTCTCTTTCCGAGGCCGGGGTGACTCAATTTTTCTCCACGGGATCAACAGTCGGAACGGATCCGACTAGCTTGGTAAATGATCCACTTCGTTTGCCAGATCATCATGATCTCGGTCGACGTGGTCAAAAACACCTGTCACAGACCAACCTATACTATACATGAAAGCTTTTTCTGTGATGAGTGTACTCCATAAACTAGTTGCATATTTATCCTATCGAGGCAGGTGGTATTAGAAAATCTTAGAAGGATCATGGTAAGCTCAGCGTTCTAGACCGCCGCGGTCGCTTATCAAAGCTCCACTTGGCTCGACGGGCCTCATAAAACCCGCATGGCCAGCACAAGGCAATGTTCTCTCACCACGTATCATCAGCAAAAAGGTTGACTATGCCACAAGACCTTGTTTTGCCGCGCCCAGGTGCGAGTTACGAGCCTCAACCGCCAGTTGTGGGGCCGACAGAGTCCGCTTTTGTCGAAACATTTGGAGCTTTACTCCCTGCCGCTCAATTCCTTCAGACTCCCCGTGGCAAGGCTGCTTATTACGAGTTCAAACACTCATCGTCCAAGGATGGTACCGCCAAAATTGATAAAGTGCTCTTTATCCATGGTGTTCAGACCCCTGCGCTAGGCATGCTGCCACTTGCCCGCGCCCTCGAGAGATCATTCCCGGCTGCGCACATGGTTCTGATTGATCTCTGGGGCCACGGACTGAGCGATACACCAGTTGTTCCGCACGAAGCATCACTATTCCATGAGCTTATCGACAATCTACTGGACCATCTGAGCTGGCAGTCTGCTCATATCGTCGGCTTTTCCTTTGGTGGAGCTACTACTGTCAGCTATGTTGCCTCCAGGCCCTCGCGTGCCAAGAGCTTCACTCTCGTTGCGCCCGCGGGCCTCCTCGAACTCTCCTTGTTCACACCCGAAGAGCAGGCTTGTCTTCAAGGAGACGACAACGATGCTGCGAAGAAGTGCGTCTTGAACATTCTCGAG